TAGAATAACCAGAACAATTCTAAAAAGAACAACAAAGTTTTGTTTGTCAAAAGAATGAAAAATGGGGGCCACAGATTGGGAGAGAATCTGAAGTTGGGCTTGTGTCCAGGACATGTAAAGAACTCTCAAAATTCAGCAGGCAAAAAACAACCCTGTGATGTTCTCTCCAGGAGCTCACCGTTAAAATTAAAAAAAAATTTTTTAAAAATTTATGTTTAATTGGAGGATAATTGCTTTACACTGTTATGTTAACAGTGTAACATCACGAATCAGTCATAACTATCTATCTATATTAACATATCCTCTCCCTCTTAAGCCGGCCTCCCTCCCACCCTCCATCCCACTCCTCTAGGTCAACACAGAGCATAGGGCTGAGCTCCCTGTGCTTTATAGCAACTTCCCACTAGCTAGCTATTTTACACATGGTAGTGTCTATATGCCAGTCCTAATTTCCCAGTTCACCTCACCCTCCACCTTTGTATAAAAATGAGGTACCTATGGATCTATATATCTATCCCTCGGCTAGTACCACACAATCTTGATTATTATAGCTATGTAAGTCTTGATATTGGTAGACTGATTCTTCCCATGTTATTCTTGCTTTTTTATTTTTAAAAAATTTTCTACTGCCCCATGTGGCGTGTGGGATCCTAGTTCCCTGACCAGGGATCAAACCTGTGGCCCCTGCAGTGGGAGAAGAGAGTCTTAACCACTGGACCACCAGGGAAGTCCCTATTCTTGCTTTTCAAAATTACTTTTGACATCCTAGTTCCTTTGCCTTTCCATTATGAATTTTAGAATACTCTTGTTTAAATTATACCTTGCTGGGATTTTGGTAAAATAAATATTGATATTTATTTGGTAAAATAAAATCTTGCTGGGAATTTGATAAGAGTTTGAATTGTGTTAATCCTTTATCAATTTGGGCATAATTGACATTTTTACTATGTTGAGCCTTTCAATTCATGATTGTGGTATGCCCCTTAGTTATTTAGATCTTCTCTGATATTTTTAATCAGTACTTTCCAGTTTTTAGCATAGCAGTTCTGTACATGTTTTGTTAGACAAATTCCTTGAAAAATAAAAAGTACCACATGTTGCTTGATATGACATAGATAATTTGAGTACCACTATAAGTATTAAGGAAATTGAGCTCATAACTTAAAACTCCTCCTAAAGAAATCTTGCACCACTACACATCTACCAGAATGGCCAAACTGTGAAATACCAACAGCATGAAATACTGGCAAGGATATTGAGTGACAGGAACTCGCTGCTGGTGGAAATGCAAAATGGTGCAGCCACTTGGAAAAACAATTCAGCAGTTTCTTAGAAAATTAAACATACTCTTACCATATGGTCTAACAATTGTGCTCCTTGGTACTTATCCAAGAAGCTGAAAACTTATGTCCACACAAAAAAACTGCATATAAATGTCTATAGCAGCTTTATTCATAATTACCAAACTTGGAACTAACCAAGATGCCCTTCCTTCAATAGGGACAGTAGAATATTATTTAACACTAAAAAAGAACTATCAAGCCATAGAAAGACTTGGGGTGGGGGGTTGTTCCCTGGTGGTCTAGTAGTTAAGAATTTGCTTGCCAATGCGGGGGACACAGGTTTGATCCCTGGAAGATTCCACATGTTTTGGGGCAATTAACCCCTGGTGCCGCAACTACTGAAGTTTGCACACCTAGAGCTTGTGCTTGGCAACAGGAGAAGCCACTGCAGTGAGAAGCATGTGAAACACAATGAAGAGCAGTCCCTGCTCACAACAACAAAGACCCAGTGCAGCCAAAAATGGATAGTTCAGTTCAGTCGCTCAGTTGTGTCCAACTCTTTGCGACCCCATGAACCCCAGCACGCCAGGCCTCCCTGTCCATCACCAACTCCTGGAGTCCCCCCAAACCCATGTCCATTGAGTCGGTGATGCCATCCTCCTCCTGCCCTCAATCTTTCCCAGCATCAGGGTCTTTTCAAATGAGTCAGCTCTTCGCATCAGGTGGCCAAAGTATTGGAGTTTCAGCTTCAATATCAGTCCTTCCAGTGAACATCTAGGACTGATCTCCTTTAGGATGGACTGGTTGGATCTCCTTGTAGTCCAAGGGACTGTCAAGAGTCTTCTCCAACACCACAGTTCAAAAGCATCAATTCTTCGGTGCTCAGTTTTCTTTATAGTCCAACTCTCACATCCATACATGACCACTGGAAAAACCATAGCCTTGACTAGATGGATCTTTGTTGACAAAGTAATGTCTCTGCTGTCTAGGTTGGTCATAATGTTCCTTCCAAGGAGTAAGCGTCTTTTAATTTCATGGCTGCAGTCATCATCTGCAGTGACTTTGGAGGCCCGAAAAATAAAGTCAGCCACTGTTTCCATCTATTTGCCGTGAAGTGATGGGACCGGGTGCCATGATCTTAGTTTTCTGAATGTTGAACTTTAAGCCATTTTTTCACTCTCCTCTTTCACTTTGATCAAGAGGCTCTTTAGTTCTTCACTTTCTGCCATAGGGTGGTGTCATCTGCATATCTGAGATTATTGATATTTCTCCCGGAAATCTTGATTCCAGCTTGTGCTTCCAAAAATAAATAAATAAACCTTACAAAAAAGACGTGATGAAACTTAAATGCATATTAGTAAGTGAAAGAAATCAATCTGAAAAGGCTACATACTGTATAATTCTAAATAAACTCACTCTAGGAGGAATAAGTTAATGAAAAAATGAAAGAAGAAAAGGGAAGAAGGAAGGGATGGAGGGTGGAAGGGAGCGAAAAAGGGAGGAATATTACTATTTTTTTTTAAAATTTTGGTTATAGGGGATATTTGAGCAGAAAGTGCATAGTTTTCATATATTCCTTCTCTGTTGAAACAATTTGCCCCATTTTTAACATCTCCCAACCCACTCAAGTATTCTTGCCTGGAAAATTCTATGGACACAGGGGCCTGGTGGGCTACAGTCCATGAGGTTGCAAAGGACTGAACATGACGGAGCACTCACACACACACATTAATGTGGTACATTTGTTACATCTGATGAACTAGTATTGAAAAATTATTATTAACTAAAGTCCTTAGTTGACACTAAGATTCACGATCTGTGGCATAATTTCGTTGCCCTAAAAATTGGCTCTGTTCCACCTATTTATCCCACATCCACACCTTGCTCTGGCAACCACTGTTTTTTTTTTTTTTATTGTCTCTATTGTTTTGCCTTTTCCAGAATTCCACATAGTCAGAATCATACTATATATGCCTTTTCACACTGGCTTTTTTCACTTAGAAATACATCTTTAAGTTTCCTCCATATCTTTTCGTGGTTTAACAGCTCATTTCTTTTGAATGCTAAATACATTCCATTGTCTGAACATACCATGGTTTCTTCAGCCACTGAAGGACATTTTGGGGGCTTATAAGTTCTGGAAGTTACATACATTGCAGTTCTAAATGTCCATGTGCAGGTTTCTTTGTGGACCTAGGCTTTCAACTCATTTGAATAAATACCAAAGGGCATAATTGCTGGGTTATATGGTATGAGTATGTTCAGTTTTTTTTTTATTAAAGTGTAATTGACTTACAATATTATATTAGATTCAGATATGCAACATAGTGAGTGGTTTGACTTTTTTATATATTATGAAATGTTCACTGTGACAGATCTAGTTACCAGCTGTCACCCTACAAAAGTATAACAATATTACGGACTAAATTCTGTATGCTGTGTATGTATTACACATATGTACATGTATTATGCTGTATATGTATTACAGCTTTGTTAGAAACTGTAAGCTGTCTTCTGAAGTGTCTGTACCATTTTGTCTTCCCACTCCCATGGATGCGAGTTCCTGTTGCCAGCATTTGGTGTTGTCAGTGCCCCGTATTTCACCCATTCTAGTAGATATATCGTCATGAGTGTAGTCATATCTCACTGTTTCTGAGGATGGAGATGGCCTTGTATGAGCATAGCAGTGGATGAGCAAGAAGACAAAGGGCAGTTGACTGCCCAGCCCCCTTGCTGTGGGACTGTGGAGGAGGAGTGGGAGAGAGGAGCCCCTTATACAGGAGGAAACACTGCTGTCTCCAGCTGATTAGCTCTGGAACAGCACAGCTTGGTCCTCCAACCTCTGATTTTCCAAGAGACATTTTCATTTAAACATTTTCATTTTTCAGGTGAATTCCTCCCTACTTTAAGTATCGCTTCAAGTAACGTGTGTGTGTATGCATGTTTGTACCTAACTCACAGTTCTCCGAACCTTAGAAAGACTTTCTTGTCAGACAAGCTCAAGGCTCAACTTATCTATGGAATTCTGGCCTCCATTGAATAACACCTCCTCCTGTCATATGCATTGTGTTCTCTATTTATAAGATGCAAATAGCACATGGCAGGAAATTTGTAAAGTTCAAGTTCAGAGAAATATGGAAAAGGGAAAAGAGATTCTGAGTGACAGCATTTGTATTTCTTTTTTTTTTGCATACTGAATATAATTTTTATTTTGCTTTTGAAAAATTAGCAGTACCATCAAAAGCATTTTTTGTATACCATTACAATTTTTGAAAACTTTGTAATGATCTCATGCGTGTGTGTGCTAAGTTGCTTCAGTCATGTCTGATTTGTTGTGACTGCTTAGACTGTAGCCCACCAGGCTCCTCTGTCCATGGGATTCTTCAGGCAAGAATACTGGAGTGGGTTGCCATGCCCTCCTCCAGAGGATCTTCCCGAACCAGGGATCAAACCTGAGTCTCCTGTATTGCAGGCAGATTCTTTACCACTGAGCCACTGGGGAAACACTTAATGATCTCATACTTGGCTCTAATATTTCCTTTTTATTATTTTCTAGTTTTTTTTTCTTTCCCCTTCAGAAGTATCTGTATTTCATTGTTCTTTAATATATCTATTCTTAGGATGATTAGGACAGATGGATTCACAGAAGTGGGCCCAAAACCTTGCCTCTCTTCAGTACTCCTCGTGGTCTAGGTTTGCATTACCTGGGTGGTTGAGATGGGTGGGTGGGTGAGTCGACACTTTCTGTTTTCTTCTATATTGTCTGTTGAGTGTCTGGACCTGTGCTGGGCATGTCCTACTTGTCAGGACATGGTTATCATTGTCCAAATGCCTCACAGGGATTGTACATTACACTTAATGGAAACGAATATGTCATCGGCCCCTGGCAGGCTTTTAGGTGTTATGGTTGAAGACTGGGAGATTCACTCCATGGTGCCAGTGCCATGCCTTGGTCATAGTTGGCACTCAGCATTGAGTGACCTTCACTACAGTGGGGGATCTGAGGGAGAGGGTGTGGGGTCCCTTTGGACAAGGTGTTCAGGGATGGCTTCCAAGTCAAGTGACATTATTGTATCAGAAATGTATGACATGAAAGATCCAAACATGCAGAGATTTGGGAGAGAAGTAATGGGCGCAGGATGAAAGTACACTGTGCCTTAAGTGGGCAAGAGCATGAATGCAGGCCTGGGGGACTTTAAACATGCTTGTTACATGATTTGCTCAGCCCCCTTTCCTTTCCCTAATTGCCTTGGAATGAGGCTTGAGGGCTTCCCAGGTGGTGCTAGTGGTAAAAAATCCACCTGCCAATGCAAGAGACCTAAGAGATGTGGGTTTGATCCGTGGGTTGGGAAGATACCCTGGAGGAGGGCATGGCAACCCACTCCAGTATTCTTGTCTGGAGAATACCATGGACAGAGGAACCTGGAGGAACCTACAGTCCATAGGTTGGCAAAGAGTCAGACACAACTGAGTGACTTAGCATGCAGGAATGAGGCTTGAAGGGTGTCAGGAGCCTGCTGTAGTGTTCATCTGTATTCAGGATTTTCCAGTCTCTAGCCCAGACTTCTTCTCACTTATTATCTCATTTAATGGCTCCCTCAATTCTAGAGCCTATGCCCTGGGCCTCGGGCTTTTTCTGTATTTTAGAGAACAGTCATCTGTTAGGTTCCTAGCACTCCATGTTCTGTGATGGGGTGTATCCTGACATGATCATGCCGTGGTATTCCCGCAGCTTTACAATGTAAGAGAAGGGGAGAGGGGGTGATTTGGACTCAAGGGATGGTTAATGCCTGAAGTGGGGAGTGGGGGCTGGGGTGGGGATTGGGCTGGGTCCCTGCCTTCAGGCAGGCTCAGCATTTTGCTGCAGGGCCCTTCCGACTTCACTGTTCTCACACTGTGAACCTGGGCTCCAGTTTCGGTTGCCAAAGGTCCCGTTTTCGTCTTTGCTGAAATATCGGATGCCTAGAACAAATGACAGCTGACCTTTTCTCAGAGGGCAGAACATGTACCTGATGATAGCAGGAGACAAAACCGATTGTCCTGGCTTTTATTTTTCTTGGACCTTTGAGGGAAACAGAATCATCTTTTAGGTGAAATTTGTCATGCCTGTTGGTGGGCGTGAACTTTGATATCGGTGCTTCCATTGATTCTTTGGTGCCAAGGAATGAACCCAACTCCATGGTCTGGAAGGGGCATATCCGGAGTGCAGTCTCTGAAGGCCCTGGGGGCCTCCCAGGTCTTTGTCTGTTTCCCTCCTAACTTTTGGAGGTGGGGCAGCCTTTGAATTCTGCTAATCCAGGATTCATGGGAAGGTATTTCATGCAGGTATGGTTTACCAGACTAGACACAAGGACATGTTTGTTCCCAAGCTTTAAGTGATTTGGCCTGCTGATTCTCAAAGGGTAGGGCCCTTTCAAGTCCAGCCAAGTCTTGGCTGGATCACAGTTCCAGAAGATAAGGCAGAGACCAATTCTTAATGACCTTTGTGTGAAGATGTCTTAATAGGCCTGGCTGAGCCATGGGTATCTTGGTTGGCATCAGGCTTTTGACCTTTCATAGGTATTTTTAAAAAAATTATTTATTCACTTATTTATGGCTGTGCTGCCTTCGTTGCTGTGCGTGGTCTTTCTCTAGTGGCAAGCGGGGCTGCTCTCTGGTTGAAGTGTGTGGGCGTCTCATTGCAATGTTTCTCTCGTGCACAGCAGCGGCTCTAGGGCGTGTGGGCTTAGTAGTTGTGGTGCACTGGCTTAATTACCTTGCAGCCTGTGTTATTTTCCCAGACCAGGGATTGAATCCGTGTCCCCTGCGTTGGCAGGCAGATTCTTAACCACGGGCCCACCAGGGATGTCCCATAGGTGTTTTTTTACTGACATGCATACAGCCGTGTGCATACTTATGTTTGTCTGCATATATGCTTGTCTATGTCATCTAGTCCCCTGGACCTTGTCAGTCACATGTAGCTTTCCTCCCTCAGTTTCCTTCTCTTTTGTACTTGCTCTCAGATCTTTGCCAGCAATGGGAATTCACAGAGGCCTCCTGTAGGGAACTTACATCCCTGAACTCTTCAGTTGCTTGTAAAATTTGGGTTAATTTTCATTTTTAGGGTACATATCTTTCATGAGATTTTCAGTGAGCTTTGTGCATTATCAAAGGTGAAAGGTTAGTGTTTTAGGAAGAGGCAAAATATCTGTGCACAGGCTTTGGGGCCAGATAGACCTGTCTGTGAATCCTGGTTCAGCTACTTACTCTTGTGTGGCCTTGGGCTGTCATCCAACCTTTTTTTGTGCATTAATTTCCTCATCCATAAAGTAAGGATAATATTGTACCTATCATAGGGTTGCCTTGTGGATCAAATGAGGTGAATATGTCAAACAGTTAGCACCATACTTGGCATATATGCGTGGGTGTGTGCTAAATTGCTTCAGTCATGTCTGACTCTGCGACCCTATGGACCATAGCCCACCAGGCTCCTCTGTCCATGGGATTTCCCAGGCAAGAATACTGAAGTGGGTTGCCATGCCTTTCTCCAGGGGATCTTCCCAACCCAGGGATCGAACCTGAGTCTCCTGCATTGCAGGTGGATTCTTTACCATCTGAGCTACCAGGGAAGCCCCTTGGCATATATGAGTATTCCATAATTTACTATAGTCATCATCATCATGTAATTTTGCATCAGTTTTTTCAGAATTTTTTTTTTTTTTTTGGTCTACCTTTCTCTCAGATTTTATACCATTTTCCTAGACTTTGGCAACTATTTATACTTTATTTTCTATAAGAAAATCTGGATTTGGGTTTGTTTTTTTTTTTAAACTGAAATATTGGATTCTTTATAATGCTTTTACCAGAATTAAGGCAGGCATAGAGACATTTTAATGTCACTAAAGTTTTTACTTTGAATGGGAGGACAGAGTTTTGTTGACACATCCTACTACAATGATACATGTGAATATATCTTGTCACAGATACATGAGTGGTTTCAAAAGGTTAAGTATTTAAGACATTTGCGGACGTCTCTGTTTTGACTTTGTTTCTTTTCCACCCAGTTGCCCCACAGATGTCAATGTGTTAGGCCTGTGGTCTCTGCTTTGTTTGTAGGTCAAAGCTGAATATGTCTGTGCCTAGAGGAGCTTTTCATTCAGTCTCTGAGGGGCTACACATTGTTTTTGCGGCTTTCACTCTGAGTGACTTTACCATCCATGGGCTACATTTCGCTGCTTGGAAGTGCAACAAGTTGGCTCCATATATAGCTATAGGTGTTGCTCTGATGGCATTTTACATATCAGCCAGCTTGGGTTTTATGGGGGTAGGGGTGGAGGAGTGGATGGATCTAGCTTTGCCTGAGATGGAGAGAGGGTTATGTCATGGAAATCACACTGAAAAGATACAAGACCGTGACCACAACCACCAAACCTCTGTTCATAAGCACTCAGAAAATGCTTTCTATCCTTACAACAACCTGCATTCAGCAGCAGCAGCACATTACCCTCACCCACATCCCCATTTAGAGATGAAGAAACTGGGGCTCAGAGAAGCTGTTATTTCTCTACAAAAGTGGCAGGGCTGAGATTCAAGCACAGATGTGCCTGAAACCAAAGCCTTGACCTAGGACATGCCATTTGTCTTCTCGTGCCACTGGTCTGTGAGATTCCTGAGGGCTGGGGCAAGTCTCACTCATCTTGTACACCCCTGTATCCCTCAGTGTGCAGTAAACATGGAACAAATGAAGGAATGTTTGCATGAATGAATGGATCAACTTCTCAGAGCCTCACTTTCTCTCCCTGACTGTCAAATTGGCTACCAGTTCCTTGCCTGTTTCTCTTATGGGGGTTATGGGAGTCAGATAACACAGTGGCTCTGAGTGTGTTAAGTGACAGCCATATGTGAGGCAAGGAGAGTTCAGCCATCCATCCATCCATCCATCCATCCATCCATCCATCCATCCATCCATCAGTTCATCTATTTATGTATTTCTCAGACATTTATTAAGCACCAGCTATGTACCAGGCACCATGAATGCATTAGTGAGCCATGGTGTCTCCCCTCATGATTTATAGTCAGAGAGACAGACATAGACCAAGTAAACAGACCAATAAAATTCAATGAAATAAAGGACAAGTTGTGTTAAGAGTTTTGAAAGAAATGAAGCCTGAGATGACAGTAGTTGAGGGCCTCTCAGAGGAGATGGTTCCTTAGTTGACTTAAAGGATAAGAAGAAACTACCCAAGACAGGTTGAGCGGATGAGGGAGAGGGAACAGCTTGGGTCAGCCTGATGTAGGGAAGATCTGGTGTGTTTGAGCAACTCATAGGCCAGTGAAACTGAGGAGGATGGAGGGCTGATCTGGGGCCAGTCAGGAAGAGCCTTGTGGGCCGTGATGAAGACCATGGATTTTCTTCTGAGTTGGAAGAGGGTTTTAACCAGCAAGTGACATGATTCGGTTTATGTTATGAAAAGTCTATTCTGGCTGCTACTTGGAGTCCAGGGGGAAGGGAGCTGGAATAATCCAGGTGAGAGATGGTGGAAGCCTTGTTCAGTGTGGTACTGCTGGTAGATCTGAGAACTATTTAGAAAGTAGGACAACAGGATTGGACCAGGCGTTGGACTGGGTGTGGAGGAATCAGAGCCCTTAACTGGGGAGTTGTGGTCTGGGTGGGAAAGAGTGAGTGCCTTCCATGTTCTTCATTCTGGGCCCCTTTCTTTCTTCCAATAAATCTCTCCCCATTCTTTAGGCTATTATCCCAGTTGGTAAAAACATGTCCATCCTATGTCATGTCACTCAACACTCTGGGTTCTTGATGGCCTCCCTCCTGGGTGACTCAATGACTTCACTCCATGGAGCATAGAAGCTTCTCAGAGGTGCCCACTTTGGGGATTAGAAAGTGGAACGAGAGAGGGCAGAGATCCAGCCCCCTGTCTCATTCTATCAGAGGAGCTCCCTTGTCATCTATTTTATGTATCAGATTTCTTTGTAAGCTTTTATTTGAAGACATGGGTCATGCCTTGAAAAATTGAAAATCACTTCTTAAAAAGATGTATTTATTTATTTATTTAAGTTAAACTCTATGACCTTTATTTTTTTTCCCATTTATTTTTATTCGTTGGTGGCTAATTACTTTACAATATTGTAGTGGTATTTGCCATACATAGACATGAATCAGCCATGCATTTACATGTGTTCCCCATTCCGATCCCCCCTCCTGCCTCCCTCTCCATCCCATCCCTCTGGGTCTTCCCAGTGCACCAGCTCTGAGTACCCATCTCATGCATCCAACCTGTGCTGGTGATCTGTTTCACCCTTGATAGTATACTTGTTTCAATGCTGTTCTCTCTGAACATCCCACCCTCACCTTCTCCCACAGAGTCTAAAAGTCTGTTCAGTACATCTGTGTCTCTTTTTCTGTCTTGCATATAGGGTTATCATTACCATCTTTCTAAATTCCATATATATGTGTTAGTATACTGTATTGGTCTTTATCTTTCTGGCTTACTTCACTCTGTATAATGGGCTCCAGTTTCATCCATCTCATTAGACCTGATTCAAATGAATTCTTTTTAATGGCTGAGTAATATTCCATGGTGTATATGAACCACAGCTTCCTTATCCATTCGTCTGCTGATGGACATCTAGGTTGCTTCCATGTCCTGGCTATTATAAACAGTGCTGCGATGAACATTGGGGTACACGTGTCTCTTTCAGTTCTGGTTTCCTCGGTGTATATGCCCAGGAGTGGGATTGCTGGGTCATATGGCAGTTCTATTTCCAGTTTTTTAAGGAATCTCCACACTGTTCTCCATAGTGGCTGTACTAGTTTGCATTCTCACCAGCAGTGTAAGAGGGTTCCCTTTCCTCCACACCCTCTCCAGCATTTATTGCTTGTAGACTTTTGGATAGCAGCCATTCTGACTGGCGTGTAATGGTACCTCATTGTGGTTTTGATTTGCATTTCTCTGATAATGAGTGATGTTGAGCATCTTTTCATGTGTTTGTTAGCCATCTGTATATCTTCTTTGGAGAAATGTCTGTTTAATTCTTTGGCCCATTTTTTGATTGGGTCATTTATTTTTCTGGAATTGAGCTTCAGGAGTTGCTTGTATATTTTTGAGATTAATCCTTTGTCTGTTTCTTCATTTGCTATTATTTTCTCCCATTCTGAAGGCTGTCTTTTCACTTTGCTTATAGTTTCCTTTGTTGTGCAAAAGCTTTTAAGTTTCATTAGGTCCCATTTGTTTATTTTTGTTTTTATTTCCAATATTCTTGGTCATAGAGGATCCTGCTGTGATTTATGTCTGAGAGTGTTTTGCCTATGCTCTCCTCTAGGAGTTTTATAGTTTCTGGTCTTGCATTTAGGTCTTTAAACCATTTTGAGTTTATTTTTGTGTATGGTGTTAGGAAGTGTTCTAGTTTCCTTCTTTTATAAGTGGTTGACCAGTTTTCCCAGCACCTCTTGTTAAAGAGGTTGTCTTTCTTCCATTGTATATTCTTGCCTCCTTTGTCGAAGATAAGGTGTCCTTAGGTATGTGGATTTATCTCTGGGCTTTCTATTTTGTTCCATTGATATATATTTCTGTCTTTGTGCCAGTACCATACTGTCTTGATGACTGTGGCTTTGTAGTAAAGCCTGAAGTCAGGCAGGTTGATCCCTCCAGTTCTATTCTTCTTTCTCAAGATTGCTTTGGCTATTCAAGGTTTTTTGTATTTCCATACAAATTGTGAAATTATTTGTTCTAGTTCTGTGAAGAATACCATTGGTAGCTTGATAGGGATTGCATTGAATCTATAGATCACTTTGGGTAGTATACTCATTTTCACAATGTTGATTCTTCTAATCCATGAACACGGTATATTTCTCCATCTATTTGTGTCCTCTTTGATTTCTTTCATCAGTGTTTTATAGTTTTCTATGTATAGGTCTTTTGTTTCTTTAGGTAGATATACTCCTAAGTATTTTATTCTTTTTGTTGCAGTGGTGAATGGTATTGTTTCCTTAATTTCTCTGTTTTCTCATTGTTGGTGTATAGGAATGCAAGGGATTTCTGTGTGTTAATTTCATATCCTGCAATTTTACTATATTCATTGATTAGCTCTAGTAATTTTCTGGTAGAGTCTTTAGGGTTTTCTATGTAGAGGATCATGTCAAAAAGATGTATTTTTAAGAAGACCTTCAGGGGGGATCATTTTGGGGAAGACCTTAGATCACCAGGGCAGGTGAGCAGGGGAGGTGTTTTGGGCTGTTTGCTCCTTAGCTGAGCTTCGAGGCTTGGGATGGGGGTGGCAGCAGGGAGGGACCATATGGGGTGGAGAGAGCAGGAGGGTGGTCTTTGGAGCCCCTGTCTTGACTTCTAGCATCGGAAGTGGTGTTGCTCGGCTGGCAGAAGGGAGTGATCTCACACCCTATCAGGGAGCACCCAATGTTATCACGAGGTTTAGTGGGATAACAGTGTCTGCAGACTGCAGAGTGACATGCATCTGGTAAAGCCATAGGAGAGGAATGAGGATCTTCTAAGGCTTGAGGGAGAGGCTCTGTCCTGCTTGGACAGGTCATTCCTGATGACTAGCAAGCCGGGGTCCTGAGGAAGTCTTCATTCAGTCATTTTGCACTTAGTATCTACCTTGTGCCAGATGATGTGGTCACACACAGGTGGGAAAATTCTGGGCTGGGGGTTAAGATTCGCGTCTCCTCTGGGAAAGCATGTTCCAGCCTCCACCTTATCTTGGGTGTGTCATACACACATCAAGGGTGAGGTCCAAGATCAGGACAGTCCTGCCCTCCTGCCTGAAGTCCTCCTGGTGGCTCCTGCACTGGGGGCTCCTGTGGGGGACTTTTTTCCTTCAAGGTGAGGCTTGTAAAACAGGTTGAGGAGTCAGGTTAAGAACTCACAAGTGGTCTGCTCTGGGCTCCCACCTCCCCCTACCATCAGGGACCCTGCAGCAGACCTGTGAGTTCCCCCATTATTTGGACTGCATGGTAGAGAATCAGCCCCCAGGATGGCCTCCCCAGCAATTTCTCCAGTTTCACGGGCCAGCTGGGGTTCCAGAGTGTCTGACTACCTATTCATTCTCAAGACAGAGCCTACTATGAGTCTCTATAAGAGTCTGAAGTTTCCCCCCATCTGCCTTTTTCAGGGGCGGGGCCTGACCTGCTGTGGGCTTTGACAAGTGCCCAGGTATGGGAAGGGGCATCCCTCTGCTTGGCCATCCCTCCATCCTTGGCAACCATGGTGCTGTTTACAGTTCAGACTGCAAAGCCCTCTTGTGCCTGGCTTTTCTCTGCTCACTGCTTTGCGCTGCCGGGCCACATGGGGCTGGCAGGTTGGTGGTGAGGACGCTTCTGGCTCTCTCCCTCGAAGGCCCTGCTCTTGGGCACATTAAAATCACTCTGCTGCTCACCACGCCTTTGGGGCCAGGGGAGCTCTGAGGTGTGGCCGTCTCACAGGCACTCACCTGCTTGAGGGTCTGCCTGCTTCCCTCTCTGCTCAGGGCCTCCCAAACATCTATCTCCTATGGTCCCTCTCTTCTTAGGGATTCTTGTTCCTGCTTCCTTTCTCTTCCTCCCTCTTGAGCAGGGGAGCGTTCCTGTGTGCACATGTTCCTCCCATCCTGTCCACACCCCATCCTCTCAGGGGCTAGGCTTTCGGAGTGTTCAAGTCCCTTTTCCATTTTCTGAGGCACTTCCACCATCTAAGACACTGAATACAGAATTCAGAATACCCCTCTGAGGGGCTAACGGAAAACAGGAATGGCCAGGGAGACAACCCCTTCATTGAAACATTTCAGAACAGCCTGACCACTTCCCAGAATCCCTTAACAAATTCAGAACTAGAGTCCTCAAGCAAGAATCATCTTTACTGCAATTGTGATTTTCCATTGTGACTGTAGCCATTCTTGGACTCTCAAGGGCCTGGAGCACTTGTGGCTGAGGGGAGGGATTGGCTCTCAGTAAGAACTGGTTATTCCTTTGGAACGGTCAGCAGCAGGTAGTCCTGTGGATAGAAGGAGGGAGATGCGTCCCTTCGGTCCACACCATGCACAAAGCCAGCTCTCCCCGAGGCTGCTCCTGCCACTCCTGAGAGGGACTGTGTCCCCTGAGGACATGCCTTCCCCTGGTGGCCAGAGGGCACAGTCAGGAACCGACTGGACAGGGGGATAGAGTGGAGGGGGAGGAGGTTCTTGGGAATGTTTGTGAGTGAAGGGGCAGATCAGTCTTTGGGGTTTGTCCTGAGAGCCTGTGTATCAAGGTGACTCTCATATTTTTGTAGCAATGGGGTTTGTCTTGCTTGGGTCACCCTGAGGTGGGTTGGAGCCTTTCACTTGTTTGCAGCCACAATGCTTAAACCTCTCCCAGACCTGACCATGTTGCTGGAATCCATCCATTCCTGCACCCTTTTACCACAAGAATGGGAGCTCCTGGAAGGTTTAGGCCCTGGGTCTAACTCATTTGTATCTCAGCATCACTCAGCACAGGGCCAGGCACAGAGCAGCCAGTCACATTTATTGACTGAATTAATGAGTGAGTGATGAGGGCAGCCATGGAAGGATGTAGAGGTTGTGCACTGTCCAACTCTAGGTGGTGTCATTCTTGTACACTATAGTATAGGTGGTGCATTCTAGAGCTGTACAATATGTCATCAACTTGACAGTGTGGGACAGTCTATAAGTGAATTAACGAGTAAGCCACTGAGCCCACCCACACTTTCTCCCCTTGCCTCTTGGTTGTTGTTATGGTTGTTTAGTTGCTAAGTCATGTCCAACTGTTTGCAACTCCATGGAATATAGCCCCTCCAAGCTCCTCTGTCTATGGGATTTTCCAGGCAAAAATCCTAGAGTGGGCTGCTATCTCCTTCTCCAAGAGATCTGCCTGACCCCGGGATCAAACCCGCATCTCCTGCACTGGCAGGCAGATTCTTCACCACTAAGCCACTAGGAAGTCTCCATGCCTCTATGCTGCTGCTGCTGCTGCTAAGTCACTTCAGTCATGTCCGACTCTGTGCAACCCCATGGACAGCAGCCCACCAGGCTCCTCTGTCCACGGAATTCTCCAAGCAAGAGTACTGGAGTGGGTTGCCATTTCCTTCTCCCCCTGCCTCTATAGGTCTGGGTTATATAGTAGCTGCAGGGGCTATGCCGTGATTATTCTTCTGGGTACTGGCCCCAACAGCCAGGATTTGTGGCATCATTTCTGAGCAGGTGGGCCCCTATGTTACCTCTAGTAGCCCTTCCAGCCCTGACCTGGTAGAGTCACCTGGAGCCGACCCTTCCCAACTAGGGCCATCCTGGGTTGAATCTAGGGCAGAGTCTGGGGTTGGGGGTGGGGAGCAGCCCAGGCGAGGAGCTGAGGTTTTGTGATAGAAACTGCTGCTGTCCCCACTGCTTCCTTCTGCTCAGTAACTTCTGGTCCTTGAAAGTGGATTTCTAGTGTTTCCTGAATGTCAGGACTGGGAACTGGGCGTGCTGTGTCCAGGATTTGGCATAACTGGGGGTCCTGAAGCTCAAACTGTATGTCTGGGATGGTGGGTCACATTCTGTCAAATGTTGGCCTTATCGGTTGTTTGTGTTTGTGAGGGGAACCCTCACTTCTGGCCCAGGGGGAGAATTATCTTTCTCTCCATTACACAAACAGAGACAACAGGCTGAGAGATTGCTAGTGGCTTACCTGAGGTTGTACAGCCTCAGAACCAGGAGGTTCTGTAATTCTCTCTCTACCCTGCACCAAACATCCCTTCCTGTGCTGCTGTTTAAGAGTAGGGGTCTTTTAAAGGCAGGAACAAAGAAATGAAGGTCATTTCTAAGCTCTGTCCTTTCCTATCAGCCTCTTCTCAGGTTCATGCACAGAGGGAAGATCAGAGGGCCGAAGGGGCGAGGCGACTCTGGGGGAAGATTCAGAGCTGGCAAATGCTGATGGAATCACCTCCATCTTCCCTTCCTGGCATTCAGATAGTAGGTGCAAGAGGCAGCAGCCCTGTTTTGGGGGGTCAGGATACCCAATTCTAGCATGGTGGGTGTTCCAGGCTAAGGGTACAGGCTTTGAAGTCAGATGAACCCCAGTTGGAATCTTGGTTCTGCTGCCCTGGGCAAGTTTCTCTACCTTTCTTTTGTAAGATGGGAAAAGTAATAGCATCAGCTTCATGGAGCTAATTATGAAGATCACCTGTGTAAGGCCTAGAAGCTCTTGGAGAGCCAGGGGTATGGCTCCTGGAGGGATTCATGAAGCCTCCCACGCCCAGAGCCTCAGCTTCCTCATCTGTAAATGGGGCAGCCCACCCAGTATGGCTGTGATAAGACAGTGAAATGAGCAAGGTCAAGGGAGCACCTCCTCTGCCAGAGCCTCAGCGTCCCCATCCATGGGATGGGGACAAGCCCCTATGGGACCCCACGGCCCCTTCCCCTGTAGCTCTGACCTCCCACGTGGGCCCCGGGAAGCTCCTTTTCCCAGCATTTACCTCAGAGGGCTCCATTCGCGCCTGGTCAAAGGAGATGCCCTTAATGTTGGGCAGCAGGAGGCCTTGTTCTCTGAGCAGGTATGCAGGAGGGGAGGGCGGGGAAGCTCAGTGTGCTGTGGGCAGGTGTCTGTGGGGCTGGGTGTGTCCTCCTCTCTGCTCTCCCAGATAAAGTTGCATCCTTGCCCACCTGGGGGCTTCCCTGGTGGCTCAGATGGTAAGGAAACTGCCTGTAATGCGGGAGACCTGGGTTCGATCCCTGGGTCAGGAAGACCCCCTGGAGAAGGGCATGGCAACCCACTCCAGTATTCTTGCCTGGAGAATTCCATGGACAGAGGAGTCTGGCAGGCTACAGTCCATGGGATCGCAAAGAGTCGGACACGACTAACACTTACCCACTTGGACTCTGGCTGCCTTGTTGGACTGTCTGTAACTACCATCCTCCAACCTCCAGTTGGTTCCCCTTCTTGAAAATGAATTGGCTCACTTCATGCCCAGAACCTTTCCTGGCTACCGTGGGCCACAGAACAGATGGTAAATCCTTCAGCCTGCTTGGCATTTGAGCCCCTCTCTGCTCCTCTGCCTTCGCTCTGCAGTCCTAACTCGAGTCCTGGAGCTGGAGCACAGAGGAAAGCTCATGTCAGGGAAATAAGGAGCCAGGGTTCTGGGCTCAGATCTGCCAGCCTTGCAGAGTGACCTTGGGTAATTCCATGGGGGACATCTCTGGGTCTCTCTGAAAGAGGAGGAGGCTGAGCCAGGTGATTTCTCAGAGGTGAGTGTGGTCTGAACTGTTTATCCTACATGTATTAGTCTTTCCTGAGGGTCTCCTGGGTGGGAGGCACTGGACAAGGTGTAGGAACACAAACAACAAAACCAGGCGTCCCTGCCCTCCGGTAGCTCACCCTCTGGCTGGGTCATAGGCAATGGCTAAATAATCACGTGGGTAGATGGGTGATGGGCAGCAGGTGTTGGGTAGACAGTGATGGGTAGACAGACTGCATCAGGGAAGGTGGAAGGAGAGGGAAGCTGTGAGTGCCATGGGGCAGAAGAGCCTGATTGCGCTCTGCATTTCTGGAAGACTCACTTCCCTCACCCCTCCATCTTCCTGGGACCACTTCCTGCTGCCTGCACTCTGTTACCTTAGGGTCTGCTTCCCAGGAAACCCAAACTAAGACAAGGGTGTTTTGGGAAGGTTTGATTTTGTTGCTGTTATCTAAGATGGAGGCGATGTCTCAAAAAGTTCAGCTTTCTGGTGTCTCGCAAAGGTAAAAAATATCTTCCCTGCTCTCATTTGAGCTGAGAGCTCATGCGTGCTCAGTTGCTTAGTCGTGTCTGACTCTGGGACCCCTTGAACTATAGCCCGTCAGGCTCCTCTGTCCATGGAATTCTCCAGGCAAGAATATTGGAGTGGGTTGCCGTGTCCTCCTCCAGAAGATCTTCCTGATCCAGGGATTGAACCCAAGTCTCTTCTGTCTCCTGCCTCGGCAGGTGGGTTCTTTTACCACTGAGCCACCTGGGAAGCCCCACCTGAGTGCTAGCTGCCCACTAAATGTGGGGCGTGTTCTCCATAGGCCCGATCTGGGCTGCTTCCTGTGGGTGTGTTACCTACCTGGCCCCTGCAGGTGTAGGAACTCTGAGCTGTGGGCTCCACCACCTCTGAGGGCCTCTCTTTTTCTTACTTTCCGTCATGTTACCCCCACCTCCCTATGAAGCCCTTCCTCGCCCCACTCTGAGCTCTTGTTACCACTAGTGGCCTGAGCAAAAAACAGGAGGGCACAGGTGGCCCCTCTTCCACCCCTCATCTGCCACCCCCAGACTTCAGGGTCTCTGCAATTCTCAAGTGAGCCCAGGGGACAAGGCAGAAGCCAGCTGTCTGCGTGGGGCTGCAGGCACGGCTGATGTGGCTCCCAGCCGCGTGGTATGTGGGCCTGAGTAGAAACTCAGTGGTGCTCACTGTTGTGATGGGGCAGGACCCTCCAGTTCAGAAACCCGAAGAGAAAGGCCTCAAGACGTTCTTTCTACAAGAAATGAAAGAGGAACAGGAAGGTCACTTCTTCCGGATTCCCACCATGGGAATGGGGGGGCCTCCAGTGTCCAGGTGCCCACAGGAGACCAGGAGTAGTTCTTGGAACTCCACTATTAAAGGGCATTGGAGCCAGATTCGTGAAGGGACTGGGAAACATTGGGGGCCCTGAAAAAGGGTCGCCTCACCCCAGGTCACAGCAAGATTCTTTGTTTCTCTGCAGGGCAGTCCAGCAAACTGGTTGGGCCAGAGAAAACCCCAGGGCCAGAGCTTCATGGGGACCAACTTAAATGGATCAAAGAATGAAACAGACAAGCTGACATTCTGAGGGTTCTCCCCACCCCTGTGGGTAGGATAAGATCACCCAGAAAGCGAGTGAGGCTTCCCACCCCCACATCAGAGGCTCAGGGCCTTCTTTCAGGCCTGTGCGTGGGTCCTTCAGAACCATGAGAAGCCAAGGGTAAGGAAAGAGACTCATCTGCTCTGCAAGGCCAGCGGGGTAAGGGCCCAGAATGACTGTAATGCTATTGGAAAAGAGATCACCCTTTTAGGTCATGGCAGTTGCTTGGAGTGGGAGAAGGGTGCAATGTTCAGCGACTTCAAGTCACAACACACCTCCCCCTGCCCCTTTCTTTCCCTCCTCCTCTCAGGGGCTCCATTCAGCTGACAGTGAGCTGGGAGCCTTGCACCCCGAAACCACACTCTGTCAACCCTCTCATTTTTTTCCTGAACATTCCAAACCAAAAATATTTACCTGTTTGGAGTGAACTGAAGTTTTAATTCCTGGTTTTTTGAGGAAAACACAGCCTTTGAAAGGAGTTTCTGTGAAGAGTGGAGATTAGGTCAGAACCGGAGAGGAATTCACATTCCAGACGGAGGGATTTCCTGCACCCCAACCCTACATTGTCCAGGGCCAGCCCCCGTCACCCCATCCTCTCCCCAGCCCCAGCTGCTGGCTCCTGTGAGTTCAGACCATGAATGTGTGGGTGTTGCCACGGGAGAGAGCACTGGGGCGGGGGTGGGTGCTGGGTGCTCCTAGAGGCCAGGGCTGGATACAAGGGGAGGCGGAAGCTCAGCTCAGTAGAGGGAAAGGTTTTTGCAGTGAGTCATTTGGTAGTGCAATCACTTGCTGGAAGCCAGTGAACCCCTTGGTTTTGAGGGGGTTGTCCCTGGGTCTCCATAATTTATTCAGTTACCTCCTAAACTAGAAACTAGAATTTTTACTGCCAGCCAGATATGACTGATCTCTGGTCCAGAGAATCATGCCAGCTAAGTTCCCAGGATCCAGTTACACACACCAGATGCTCCTAAACTCGCCTATAATGGAGCAACCTTTCTGCCCCATAGTTGTTTAGTTGCTAAGATGTGTCACACAGCATCTTCCCAATTTCAAGGTCTGCGGAGTGGGAAGTAGGAACCCCAGCGGGGCTCAGGATAGAGGGGTTGAAACTTCAATGAAGCTGTCTTTCCCCAGAATTCCTGCCAGGGTCCAGCCTTCTCTAGCTTGGGTCACCTCTCTCTCTCTCGGGGAGCAGAGAATGCAATCACATTTAGCCTTTCATGAACTCTGTTTCTCTGAGTTTTCTCCTGGTTTTGTGGACAAGGGTTTCAATGCAGCTGTGTCCAGAAGAGACAGTCAAGAGGGTATCAGAGGCAAAACCTTTTAGCTGCTGAAGAAATCTCTTGGGAGCACGGGGGCTGGACTCAGGGGAGCAGGTGTGAAAGTATTTTAGTTTTCTCACAACAGGCATGGCTATGGAATGTTAGCAGATGTCATGGCGGCGAGGTTTGCCACTGTCCTCTGTCACACTGCCTCAGTCAGCTGGCCCTGGAGGGGCCCTCAAGTGGCCCCAAGCTCCTTGAGGAACAAAGGACTTAGAGGCTTACTCACCCAAGAAACTGAGACGGGGGAGGTGTTGCTGGACCCCAGCAGCAGCAGGGAGCCCGGCTGGATGACGGAGGCTGTGTGGCCGTCAAGGCGGACAGTGGGAGGCTCAGGGATGCTGATGGTCAGTCCCACGTTCCCTCTGGACTGATCAGAAGTCTAAATAAGGGGAAAACAGAGAAGGTGCCGGCCGGGACAGAAGACAGTGTTCCTTAGCCCCCAGCTGGGAAGGACGGGAACAAGGCCATCTTAGGAGTCAGGGTGTCTGTGTTTTCACTCTCGTTCTCTAGCAACTTGCTGTGTGACCTTAGGAAGGTCACTTACCCTCCCTGAGCTCCTCTGACATGAAATGACATCCCCGTTTTTCTGGGCATGCAAAGCAAATAAGAGTATAGATTTTGGAGCCAGAGTCTAGTTCTGCTGCTTCTAAACTGTGTGGCTTGAGACAACTCTCTTAATTTCTCTGTGCCTCAACTTTCATGCTTGCATTGGGTTGGCCAAAAATCTCATTTGGGTTTTTCCATAACAGTTTTTGGAATGAACAAACTTTTTGGCCAACCCAATAAAATGGGGATAATAATCATACCTACCTCAGCAGGTTGTTGTGGTGATTAAATGAGTAAATTAATGTAAAGTGCCTAGAAAGGAACTTTGCTCCTAGTAGCACTATTGTTACCTATTGTGTGTGTGTATGTGTGTGTGTGTGTTAGTTGCTCAGTCGTGTCCGACTGTTTGTGATCCCATGAACTTCTCTGCCCATGGGATTCTCCAGGCAAGAATACTGGAGTGGGTTGCCATTCCCTTCTCCAGGGTACCTTCCTGACCCAGGGATCGAACCCAGGTCTCCTGCATGGCAGGAAGATGCTTGACCATCTGAGCCACCAAGGAAGCCCTGTCTACTGTGGTTATTGTCATTATTCTGTGTTCATCAGGTTCCCTGTTCTCAGAGCCTTTGGAGAGTGCATGCTGAGCATGGATCTTGGAGTCTGGGACCAGAACAAATCCTGGTTCTGCCTCTTACTGAGCAATGTGAGTGTGGGCAAGTGAAGTCACTCTGCTCAGCCTCAGTTTGCACAAGTGTCAAAAGGTGGTGAGAGGGCGGGCTTTTTGAGGATTACGTCGATGTAGGTGGAGCAGTCTGGCACACAGTCTCTGCTCACTGCTATCTGCCATGTGCTTGGGTATGCCTTAGCAGGCTTGGGGTTTTATTCAGTACTGAATAATGACAGCCTCATGGCCATGTCACCTGGGTGGGACAATGAGTTAAGTGAACTGTCCCTTTTAATCACTTGTGAAGAAGGTACAGTGATTTCCAGAGTCCACAGGAGGAAAGTCTGGCCAAATGCAACGTGCCTGTGTGGCCCAATCCTGTCCTCTGTTCTAGAATCTTTCCTGAGATCCTGCCCGAGGTGCTGGGGGAGAAGCAGGCAACACACCCACCTTGGGCTCAGGCTCCAGTGCACTCAGTGACAATAGCTGGATGAGGTTGGCAGCCTGGAAAAATGGCAAGATGTGCATTAGCCATTAGAATCCTGCAGATCCTTTCTGAGCAGGTTCATGGGGTGGGAGGGGTGTCAGCGGGGTTCAGTGAGATGTAATTGTCCCCAACTGAAGGTACCATTGGCACACCACTCAGTCTCAGCATAGGAGGAGTCATTCATTTGGCTTCTCACCATGATTTACCTGGAAAGGTTGACATTATTGTTTCAATGATTCCCCCCAGCCCCTGGCCAATGTTTTATTGTGAAAATTTTCTTTCTTTTAAAAAATAATTATTTATTTGGCTATACCAGGTTTTAGTTGTGGCACATAGGATCTTTAGTTACAGTATGCAAACTCTTAGTTGCAGCATAAAGGATTTAGTTCCCTGACAAGGTATCAAACCTGCGCCCCCTGCATTGGGAGCTTGGACTCCCAGCCACTGGACCACCAGGGAAGCACCATGTGAAAATTTTCACACATGCAGCAAAGTTGAAAGAATTTTATAGAGAACATTTGTATACTTATTGCCTAGATTCTTCTATTAACATTTTCCTGCACTTGCTTTATCATGTTTGTATTTAACTATCTGTGCTCTGTTGATTTTTGAAAATCATAAATCACCAGAGCAAACACTATAAAATGTATACAGTAAAAATTAAAAGTCCATCTGAACACTTTTCCCCCCTTTCCCCTAAATCCTATTCTCAAGGGTAACCACTATTGACATTTTGGAGTATATACTGACTGTTTTCTACACACACAGAAGAATGAATAGATGGGAACATTCTAACCACATGGTCCTGCACCTTGTTTATTCCTCTCAACATCAGTACCTATAGAACAACCTCATTCTTTTAAACAGCTGCCTAGTATTCCACCGTACACGACCGTAACATGACTTATTTTTTACCAATTCCTTATTGATGAACTCCTAGTTTAACTTTATTTTTCACCCTGTAACAAGTGAGGCTGCAAAGATCACCCTTGCATATGTACCCTCACCCAGTGGTGTAAAAATTTCTGTGGTCATGGGTTCACAGGGTTCATATCTAGACTTAGAGGTGTCACCTGCGTGGAAAGGAGGGAACAGTGTGGAGAAGCAGGAGTCTTGGCTCTAGCCCTGCTCCTACCTGCTGGGTGACTTGGGAAGGTCACTTTCCCTGTCTGGTCCTTGGTTTCCTCATGTAAAAAATGGAGCAATAACACTAGATTTCTTCCAGATATGGATCTTGGGATTCTGTATTTCAATATTTACTGAGCACTCGCTGTGTACAGAGTATACAGAGTATTCACAGAGTATACTGTTCACAGTCCCCAACCTCAGAATGAGGGAGACAGTGAACAGGCAAAGCTAAGGAAATGAACACACAGATATGCATATGTGTGTTTATGTGTATGTATTACATATGTATACATATATATATGACTCTGCACATATAACTTTACTCATACGCATATACACAGTTTGATCTATGTTTTGAAAAGAGAATAGAAAGAGAGAGGCAGGGTGGAGAGAGAAAAAACTTACTTTAGATATTTAGATGTGGTAGCCGAGGAGTGGCTCTCTGAGGTGATGACATTTGCACTGAGGACAACAGTGGAGGGAAGATTGTTCCAGGTAGGGAGAGAGTGTGGGCAAAGGCCCTGAGGTGAGCACCAGTCCAGCCTGTGTGACTGGAGTCTAGTGGGTGAGAAGACAGAGCTAGGGAGGTGGGCGGGGCCAGACCACACAAGGCTCCAGGGCTGTGGAGAGGAGGCTGGATTTTATTCAGAGTGTGATGGGGAGATGCTGGGGGCTGTTGAGCAGTACTCGATCTGGATTTTTCCATTTGACCCCCTTGTAGACCCTGGGAACTTGCTCTTCTTATAGACTTGTGAGTGTGTGTGCCTGTTTGCTACCATTCAGGCCACTTCCTCAGAGACGTCTTTACTGACTCAGTGTCCAGGGCAGCCCTCTTACCTCCAGCGGTCACTTGCTAATCCACTGCTCTGCTCATTATAAATAGATACATTATTTTATTTATCTGACTGTTTTCTTGTTTAGTTTCTATTCCCTCAGTAGACTTTGACCTCTTCAAGGGCAGAGACCCTGTGTGTACAGGGCATGGCACACAGTAGGCCTGCAATACATATTTGCAGAATAAATGTTATGAAGAGAGGAAAAACAAAGGGGCCTGGGTGTTCAAAGAAGTCTTTCTAGAGGAGGGAGCTTCTATACTGGGTTCTGGAGGATGAATAGGAGTTCTCCAGGTGAGGTCCAGAGAGAGAAAGTGACTTACCTGGGCCCACCAGAAAGGCACTTCTAAAAAAAAAAAAAAAAGGCACTTCTGTCATCTGGGCCTCAGTTTCTTCATGTGAAAAATAGAGCAATAAAGTAATGTACTCCGCTTCTTCAAGCACTCACCATGGGGTCCTGGGAGTTCACATGGATCTCCTTGCTGGTGTACAGGCAGGACAGGATGTCATTGTAGGTTTCCAGTGAAAAGACCAGGTCTGCCAGGCTGCCCTGGGCTAATTTTGGGAGGGGCTTGGGGGTCAGATAGTCAGGCCTTGGGACTCTCTCACCTGGGCCGCATGGGGTCACAAGCTTCAGAAAAATGAAGGAGAAATTCAGTGAGAACAACCTCCCTGGCCAAAATCTGGTTACAGTTAATACGTAGAGGATTCACTATGTGCCAGACACAGTGCTGAACACTTACAGGCACATTTCAAGCTCACAGTAGCACCGGGAGATGGAAACCATTTGACAGGTAAGGAAACGAGGCCCAGGGGTCTGAAGTGACTTTCTCAAGATCCTATACATGGTAAGAGGTGGAGCTTGGTTTTGAAACCATGAGCTTTGCTTCCTTGCTTATCGCTCAGGTAACTCCATTCCTTTCTCTGTGACTTTGTTAACAGCACCTCTTTCCTATCCATTCAGATTCTCCTGTCCTCCTGACCCACCTGCTACCATCCCACAGAGGAGGGGGCAGCCAGCCTCGTCCCTTCTCCTGGCCTCAGATTCCTCATCTGAGGGTCCCTTCCATCTGGGCACTATACACTGTCTCGTTGCTCCCGGGCTGCCCCACCTGCCCTTATGTTGGATCCTAATTCTCGCTCATGGGACACACAACCCTGTGGCCTCTCTTGCTCTCCAGGGTTGAGCAGGACTCCCCAGGCTCACTGTGAGCCCTGGAGGGCAGGGCCTGCCGTTTCTGCCCTTTCTTCTCTCTTCCCCTCTTTCCTCCTCTTTTGCCCACCACTTTCTTTGCTTGCTCTTTGTCTTCTTCCTATCCAGAGAGGCCTCACCTCATTCTCCTCCATGCCCATCCTCCCCCAGACCTGTGGATGTCCCTAGAGGGTCTGCCCTGGCCAGGAGCTGGCTCACCTGGACTTTCATCAGGATGGCCTCTTCCGTGAATTCTGTGGTGGTGACATAGTACTGGAAGTCTTCTGGGTCCGAGCTGGCTGGGGCTGCAACAAAGAAATGGAAGCTGGGCCCCAGCCACCCTGGGGGATGGATGGAAGCGGGAAGGATGGAAGGGGAGGCTGCGAAGCAGTAGAAATTCCTTTTCCTTCTCTGCTTAGCTTTATGTTCATTGTGGGATGGTCTGAGCAACTTGTAACAATGAACATTTACTGAGCCATAACTCTGTGCCAGGTTATACATGTTATCACAATGGTCCGTTTTGTGAGCTTGTGGTTAATCCCATTTTACAGATTGGAAAACTGAGGCCCGGAGTGGGAACTGAGTTACCAAGGTCATAAGGCATAATAATTCCCCTTTCCCCTATCCACTAGGAAGTAGGTTGCCCATGTGAAAGCTTTGTCTGTTTTATTTCCCACCATATTCCCAGAGCCTAGATGAGTTCCTGGCATGCAGTTGAGGGGCAGCAGATAAGCCCCACTTCCCCTTGGCAAGGAGGTACGAACGCAGAGTGATATGTAACAGGTCTTCCAGCAGCGAGTTGGGCAGGGTTGTGGCAGTGGGGCACACCTGGAGCAAAGGCATGAGGGGGTCATCATTGAGGTTGGGGTGAGGTCAAGGGGCCAACCTAGGAGTCATACCCCTCTTTCAGGGGACAGGGACAATGAGCAACTCACTATCTTCTGCAGGAGGAAGGACAATGCCTCGTCCAGGACATCTGTCACCAACCTCAGAGCTTCGTTCACCGGGGGGCGGGGGGGGGTTCATCCTAGGGGCATGGAGAGCAGATGGGGTCTCAGACACCATGGAAGGGGAGACTGAGGCCAGAGGGGGTAGTCCAGACAGGGCGGAGGCGATCCCAGCGAGTCTGTGTAACAAGGAGGCTCAGGATGGCTGCTTCCTTCCCAGCTTGGTGTCCCTCTTCTCACCACTCCCCTCTTTCTCCTCTTTCCTTTTCTGTTTTCTCCCCTTTTTGCCTTCTTGCTTTCTCTCTCCCAGACTTTGTCCTCCTCAACTTTATTTCTTCGTGAGCCTCCCTCTCTGCCTCTGTCATTTTATTTCTCTCTCTGATAAAGTTCTCTGGGATTTTCAAAGAGGTCGAGATCACAGCTGGCAGTGGAAGTCAATGGAAGGCTTCCTGGAGGAGGTGGCTTTTGTGTTAGGTATACTAAGAATCATAGGTAGGGTACTTCCTTGGAGGCCCAGTGGTTGAGAATCCACTTTCCAAGGCAGGGGACCTGGGTTTGATTCCTGATTAGGGAACTAGGATCCCACATGCCGCTGGACAACTAAGCCCATGCTCTCTAGAGCCTGCGTACTGCAACGAAGACTGGACACAGCCAAAAATACATACATAAATGGTTTTTAAAAAAGAGTTGCAGGCAGTGGCCACTTTATGTGGCCCGTTCTGTGCTCAGCAGCTCACATAGGTTAGCTCATCTCTCCCCAACAACCACCCTGGGCGGCCAGGGTTCTCTGAGTGATACTGTTTATTGGCGAGAAAACTGAGGCTCCTGGAAGTCAGATAGCTTGGCCAGGGCTCCCAGTGTTAGGAAACAGCTGAGCCAAGATTCAACCTGCATGGATGCACACTTTGACCATAACACTCAACACGGGGGCAGGAGATGCTGATGGATGGTGTGTGCAGCTGGTGGCCTTGGAGATGACCCTGTCCCTGACAACCTAGGCTGGGGAGAGGCAGCCCCCGCCTGGAGTCTCAGTGGAGGGCTGAGCACAGGAAGGGGGTGGGTACTCACTGCTCCAGAACCTGGATGCTCAGGTACCCTGGTGGGGTGTGGCACTCCTCAAAGGCCACGTGGGTCTTGTTCCCCGTCTGCTCCAGCCGAGCCCCAATGCGGATGTTCTTGATGACTCTGAGCTGCAGGATCCTGTAGGCACAGCGTGTCTGGGCAGGCTCCGTCACAGCCCAAGACAGAGTCTGGAACTCACCGGCAGGTGGGGCCCTGCCGTTGTCTGGAGGGCTCATTAAAAACACGGAGTTCCAACTTTGGAAAAACCTAAAAGATCTGGCAGCTCTGGGCCAGTGTCCTCACAGGGTGGCTGGTGTGAGCTGGACATGGGCCACGTGCGCTCCAGTTTACTACAGTCCCTACCAGGCTGAGGGTCACGTGCATTTTTACTGTGCGTCATTATAAGGGCGACAGTGTTTCTTGTATAACAGAGATATATTTCTCTGTGGCCACATCCCTATCAAAGAAATATTTCTTGGTGCTCGCTTTTCAATTAGAAAGGGAAGCTAAACAAAAAATGCCATATTTTACAAAAATAATTTTGTTTATTGTTGAGATTGGATGTTCCTAAGGGCAACATAAGGAGATTTCCTATTTGATGTGCCAAGGCTGCCCGTATCGCTCCCTCTGTTGTCTGTTGTGTTTACAACCCCAGGATGGCATAGCATCCACTGCTTAGTGCATGGTCTGAGCTCTCAGAGTGGCAGTGAACTCTCACAACAGGCAAGGGCCACAGAGGACTTGATCATAACTCTTTGTGGATGAGCCCAGAGGACGGATGGCCTTGCTCAAGCCGAGTTCCAGTGTGCTGGGCCTCAGGGTGAGCTTGAACCAGACCCTCCTCGGATCATCCCGTGAAAGCATCCACCTTTTACTCCAGATGACACATGTCCCTTGACAGGGACGTCAGAGGGTTTATCTCAGCCTCTGCTGCAGATTCACTGGGTGAGTCACTGTGTAGGCGGGTCCCTCTCCTACAGTTTTTCCATCAGAAAAAATGACTTTGGGGAATACCCTGGTGGTCCAGTGGTTAAGAATCTGCCTTCCAGTGCAGGGGACGTGGGTTCAATCCCTGGTGAGCGAACTAAGATCCCACATGCCATGGGGCAGCTAAGACTGTATGCTGCAACTACTGAGTCCTTGAGCCACAACTAGAGAAGCCTGGGCACCACAATGAAGATCCTGCATGCAGGAACTAAGACCCAATGCAGCCAAATAAGTAAATATTTAAAAAAGAAGAAAAAACGACTTTGAAACATGCCCAAGTTTCAAGGATTACTGTGACCCTTACGGTGACACAGGCAGCAGGCTTTTGCTAGCCTTGCACGGCTGCCTGGAACTGAGAGAGGTGGGGAGAAAGCACCCACCCACCCATGCACACCTACCCCTGGAGTGAGAGGTACAGTTTACTTCGCAATGTGACCTGCAGCAGGCTGTCACTCAGGACTTGCAAGGTGACCTCGGGTCCTTCGGAATCTTCTATGACTAACCTGTGAGCAGTGTGCGTGGGGGTGTTTTTGTGTTGCCTGGTAAGCCCCCTGTGACTCTGTGGACTGTGTGTATCTGTATCGGTTAGAATTCGGGCAGATACCAGGAAAGGCAGGGGCAGCTTTGGGACAACCCCTACCATGACCCTCAGGGCTTCCTTGGTGGCTCAGATAGTAAAGAATTGCCTGAAATTCAAGAAACCCGGGTTCTATCCCTGGGTCGGGAAGATCCTCTGGAGAAGGGAATGGCAACCCACTCTAGTTTTCTTGCCTAGAGAATCCTATGGGCAGAGGAGCCTGGTGGGCTACAGTCTATGGGGTTGCAAGGAGTCGGACATGACTGAGCAACTAATACTTTCACTTTTCACTACCATGACCTCTAGCCCAACTACAGAACACTGGGCTCTCGTTGCAGCCTCTAAGCCTTGGAAACTTGGGCAAGTCCCTTCCTTTCTTGGGGTGTCAGTGTCACCCTGCACAAAATGAGAATACAATAGAGGGGCTATCTGTGCCCATCTAACAGGTCTGAATTCAGATAAAAAAATTCTGCAAAAAAATATGAGAGCAAGCAGGAGTCAGAGAAAGCAAGATGGCTGGTGATCCCCCTGTCTTCTGGCCAGGGACAACCTGCCCAGCTGAGCATCCAGGAGGGAGGACATGAGCCTCCTGCTCCCCGCGATGGCCTCAGGTCCCTGCATCTCTCTGAGCTAAGAGGAACTCAGAGTTCTTTTTAAATATTGGATACAAGCTGGTAACTCATCTGATGCCTACTGGAGTGGGCAACAACAAATTCCAGTGCTGGAGGAAGACCTGGGTGGGTCAGACTCCTCAAGGGTTGTATGCCTGCCTCCAGTGTGGAAACTTCCAAAGAGCTTTGAATTATGACTTGGACCTTGTGTGTTTTTTCCTATGGGCTTTCCAAGCCTGTGCCAGGTTGGGTGGGCAGAGGTGGGGCCAATGCATGGGCAGGGGTGAGTGGTGGCCAGTCCTACCACTCACTGGGGTGGGTGTGGGCCCAGCTCCCCCTCCAGGCCTCTCTGGGAAGCACCCCCACCCTCCCTAGTGCTCTGACTTTTCATTCCATTTCACCCTCATCAGAAAACTTCTGGACTCTCATTGTAGGGCTTCTCTGGCCCTCCCTGCTCACGCTGAGAGATGGATTTGGAGGCATACCTGTGACTACTGAGGTTGACCTTGGAGGAACCCATGCCCCAACCTACATAAGCAGCATTCACTTATGCTGGTACTTATTTTACCAGAAGTTGTGACTTGGGACTGACTTAGGAACTAAGGACCCCACATGCATAACTGTCATGGGGGAGATCAGGCCAGCTGGGCCAGATCTTGGTAATAGAGAGAATTACTATTATGGGTTGAACTGTGTCTGTGTCCGCCCCCCCGCCCCACACCGCCCAGTTCATATATTATTGAGTTCCTAACCTCCAATACCTTATAATGTGAACTGATTTAGAAATAGGGTTGTTGCAGATAGAGTTAAGATGAGGTCATCCTGGAGTAGGGTGGGGCTCTTGTCTAATGTGACTGGGGTCCTTGTCAAAAGGGGGAATTTGGACACAGACATAGACACACACCCGGGGAGATTGCCAAGTGAAGATGAAGGCAGAGATCGGGTGATGATTCTACAAGCCAAGGAAAATGAAAGATTGCCAGCAAGCCTCCAGAAGCTAGGGGAGAGATATGGAAAATGCCTGATTTCAGACTTCCAGTCTCCTGAATTTCTGTTGTTTAAATGACTCAGTTTGTTGGACTTTGTCACAGCAGCCCTAGCAAACTAATACAATCAGAAAACCTGGACTTTTATTAAAACCCTCCAGATTTATTAAAAAAAAAAAAACCCACTGTGCAAGTTTGCAATACCCAGGTGTAGGCTGAATGTGGAGGGTTGGCGGGCTGCCCGGCTAAGATCCCTGGCTGAGATTCTGCCTTGTTCCCTGGAGGATTTCAAGTGGCTTTGAGAGGTTTGTGTGCTTAGTCACTCAGTTGTGTCTGACTCTTTGCAACCCCATGGACTGTAGGCCAGCAGGCTCCTCTGTCCATGGGGCTTCTCCAGGCAAGAATACGAGAGTGGGTTGCCATGACCTCCTCCAGGGAATCTTCCCAACCCAGCAATTGAAGCCAGGTCTCCTGCATTGCAGGTGGATTCTTTCCCGTCTGAGTCATCAGGGAAGCTTCCTTTTGAGAGATTTAGGGACAACAAAAATGCACTTGCTGAGGGCTTTCCAGGTTGGAGAAAAGTTCCAAAGACACTGGGGCTCCCACTGCCCACCCTGTGTTCCACTTGACAGAGGAGAACTGAGTCTGAGCAGCGAGAAAAACCAGAAGGAGCTCACCCCCCGAGCTGGAGCAGCTCCCCCAGCAGCAAGAGGCTCTGTCCCGAGAACAGACCCCTGATCAGTGGCAGGTCAAGCCCACTGCTCTTCTTGGAGAGGCCTTTTCTTACGAAGGGCATGTGGTCCAAGATGGCAAGGCCTTCACCTGCGGCCCCCCTCACAGGGATCCTGGTCACACGGTCCAGGATGCGGTGTTTAAAGAGCAGGTCTGAAATGTCTGAGGACAAGGCCCTCCTCAGGGCAGGACTCACCCTTCATTCAGTCATTCAACAGATGCCCACCAGCATCTGCCCCGGGCCAGTGATTTAGTCATTTAGCAACAAGTACTTATGAAGCACTTACTCTCTTCCGGGCTCAGGGACCAGGAGCCCTGTGGCTGGTGCCCCCATGGTGGTTACATTCTAGGGGTGGGGGCAGTGAAAGACGACAACTGAGCCCTTAGATAAGCAAGCAAAGTAATTTTTGAAGATAGAATGGAGTTGAGTTGGGGCATGATGGGGGGAAGTTTGTTTTAGATACGATGATCAGGGAGAGCCTCTTTGAGGGGGAGGAATTTGAGCTGAGACCTGAATGAAGTGGAGAAATCCACTATTGCAAGATATTAAGAGAGAGCAATGTAGACAGAGGCAACAGCACATGCAAAGTCCCTGAGGTGGTGATGAGCCTAGTGGGTGTATGAAACAGAAAGTTCAGTGAGTTTGGATCATGCTGAATGGGGTAGGAAGTGAATGGGTAAGAAGGACCTCACAGCAGAATTAGGGAGAGAGACAGACAGGATCACAAGTATAATATGCTTGGATAAGGCCATAGACGAGGCTTCATCGAAGGGCTGTGGGAACCCAGTGGAAGGAACCTGCTTCTGCTGGGGACACTGGGACTGTTAGACCTTGGCCTTAAGGGATGAATCAGAATCTGTTGTATTGGGGGATTGAGAATAGGGTAAAGAACAGCACAAGCTGGGAAGTCTCTAGGGCCAGTCAGGGCAAGTGGTGGAAGAGGCTGGAGAGGCAGGGCCTTGGAAACCAGGATGAGGAGCGTGGAGGATCTTCTGAAGGGATTAGGGAGCCACAGCAAGTGTTAGAGCAGAGGATGCGGGGGTCAGCTCTGGGCGAAGGAAGGCAAATTCTGCTGCTGGTTGGTGGGGAGGCCAGCAGAGGAAAAGCCTTGAGCAGGGAGGTGGTACCACTCCCCCGCCCTGCTCTTCCCGGAATTCCTGCCTCCTACCACCCACCCCTTAAAATTTACCTGTTTCCAGCTGATCCTTGTTGATGCGCATGAAGACTAAGTGCTGGGCTTCACCTTGGGCCTGGGGCAGCAGCCCCCAGCAGAGCAGTGACCCCCAGAACAGCAGCATCCTCCTGCCCAGGACCTGGGGACACAGGGCTGGGAACCCCACTGGCCATCTCCATGTCCTCAGCGGGGACCCACTGCCCAGCTTCTCCCAGCTCTGCCTGTTCTAGAGCCATCTCTCCAGTTTCCCTTCCCTCACTTCTCCCCCTCGCTCTAGAGCTACCAGTCCTTGAACACAACCTGTATCTCCCACCATCTCACATCAGTACTTTCCATTCCTTCTGCCTGAAATGTCCTTTCCCCCAAGTGGGCTGGCTTCCAATCTGGACTTTGCCACTTCCTGACCGTGTGACCCTGAGCAGATTATTTGACCTCTCTGTGCCTCAGTTTTCTCATCTATAAAATGGGAGACAATCATAGATTGTTGTGGGGAATGCACTCAGTAATATGTGCAAAGCACTTAGCAAGTAGTGTGCCCAATAGCTGTTAATGTGGCTATGTGATATTGCGAGACATTAAGAGAGATAGTACTCCCGTTTAACCATGGAGGTTTCTGAATTTTGAGGAGAGGACATGGGGTAAGGGTCCTGGGAGAAGCACCACCGCAGCCAGGGTAGGCACTTGGGGGGCTTGAAGTTAGGGCTTTTTACCAACTAGTAGGGAGATACGTCAATATTTCAAACAGTACATTCGTACTGGATCCTGCCTGCTGAACCTCAGCCCTGCCCAGGCAGCCAAGGGGCTATAGTTGGGACCCAAGAGCCTGTGGCAGGGGCTGTCCAGGTGGGCAAGGCTGTGCTGCCAGGAGATGCAGCCTTTGGAACTCCAAGGCAGAGACCAGCTGGGTGCAGACCCTTCCAGGGCACATGCCAGGGTAAGCAGGACCCATTAAAGAGCCATCACACCTCCACCCCAGTGCCCAAGAAGAAGCCACCCAGAGGGTGGATGCTGGCCCTGAGCAAGGACAGGATGCCCCCAAAGTGGCTGAGCCTGCTCTGGAGCGCCTGAGAGCATCCTGGCACTGCCTTGAATCAGCAACATCCAGATTTTTGTTGTTTGATGGCAGGAACTCAAACCAGTGATTAAATTGGGTCCTAGAGAAAGAGATTTTCTTGTTTGCTTGCAGCTGTGAAGTCTGGACTGGGAAATTTGTATTCATGGCATAAACTATTTATATTCAGCTCCTGGGGTGGTTTGAAACTCATCCACTCCTCACCCAGCCAGTGTTTAGCCAGGGCTCATGTCAGGCAGTTTTCCCAATCAGTTCACCCACGTCGCGTCTCTCCTCCCTTCTTGCCCCTAGTACTTCTCACCAGCCCTCTGCACATCACAGCGGTCTTGAATCATACTGGCTGAGACTTCTACTTGAGTCCCTTCTGTGTAGCAGGCTCCATGCCGAGAGCTTTATGAGCTTCGTTGCATTGTTGAATCCTTACTATGATGGTCTGGGATCACTGAAGCAGGCGCATTTTCTAGAAATTGGCAAAACAGAGGAGAGGTGGCTCACCCAAGTCACAGAGTTGGTAGCTGTGGACCCTGGATTCAAACCCAGTTTGGCTGAGAAACTGGGAAACGGATCTCTGTACCACATTGCCACATTATTGTAGGTGCTCAAGAAATATTTGAGAAATGCCCAAGTTAGCCTCCCTGTCCTTACCTCTCCAAGAGTAGGGCAGTCCAGAATCTCTGCCTGGCCTCGGTCACCAGCTTCTCAGAAAGACAAGACTTTTATAACCTGAGCTCTGAAATTCGGGTGAAAAGGAGCATGGCAGGAAGTCCATCCTCCTGGCGGAGTTTGCGCTCAGCGGATCCCTTCAGTGGAGGGAGGGGTCCTCTTGGCACCAGACTGTTAGGGGCCTCTGACTAAAATTGGTAGGGCCAGTCACTGGGGTCCCAGCAGCAGACTCTAGTCCTAGGGCAGCAGACCCCAGGGAGGAAGTGTGTGGGGGCCCTGTGATTTGGGGTGTGGGTCCTTTCCCTTAGGAGCCACTTCAGAGCTGTGGAGCCTGGGGCAGAGCCTCCAGCTGAGCCTCCAGCTCTCAGGAGGGGCCCAAGGAGACTGCTATTGCAGGATGCAGCGGTCACAGAACCCAAGGGAGCAAGGACGGATGTTGGGGTATGTGTGGAGGAGAGCAGGTGAGGGGTGGAGGTAGGCCTGGGAAGGGTGACCTTCCGTGGCTGCTCCCCATGCCCTTTCCATATACGTCACCCATGCCATGCCTCTGCAGCCTGACAGGTCTGGGTTCAAATCCCCGCTGTCACTTGGTAGCTGTGTAAGTGTGGGCCAGTTACTTTCCCTCCTGAGCCTCACTTTTCATGTCTGCAAAATGGGAATAATAAATCTAGCTATGTCTTCTGGGTATTGTGAAGATTCAGTGGGGCAATTCATGTGGATGTCAGAGCCTGGCACATAGGAAGAGTTCCCCAAAAGTTGCTTAATTAATAATTAATCAATTAAATTTTGGCTGTGCTGAGTCTTTGTTGAGACCCGTGGGCTTCTCTTGTTCTAGAGCAGAGGCTCTAGAGTGCGTGGGCTCAGATGATGTGGTGCACGGACTTAGTTGCCCTGTGGCACGTGGGATCTTAGTTCCTCAACCAGGGATCGAACCCACTTCCCCTGAATTGGAAGGCGGATTCTTAATCACTCTACCACCAGGGAAGTTCCCAAAGTTGCTTATTTTAATTTTGATTTTACAGATGAGAAAATGGAGACCCAGAGAGGCTAAGTGATCTGCTTAAGGTCACACAGCATGTATGTGACAAAACTGGGGTTTGAAATCAAGGCTCAGAGAGGAAACTGGTGAAAGAGAAATTCAATGTTACTATCTATGCAGCTCCAAGACCTTGAGTCCTCACTGCCAAGCAGACTGCTCTGTGAAGGTCCTCTCTTGTGGGCACTGATACCACATGGTAAATATGTGTAACCGGCTCGTCAGTATCCCCCAGCCGGTACAGCCATCCCAATGGTGGGCAGGACTCACCTCTAGGAGGGTTTTAGATTTTTCCATAGGGTTCTCCTTGTGGATAATTCCTTTCCCTTTCACCATCAGGGATGCAGTCAGGGCAGGTGTTAAACTCCATTCTTGAGCTGGATGCATGGGGCAGTGGGGCTGGGGTGGAAGGGCTGGTTCTAGAAGGCAGCAGCTGCACAGGGAATGCTAGGATAATGTTGTTAGCTGATGTCATAACTGGGGACAATATTTCAGATGGGATGTACTTTTTCTAGGATCTCGTAAAATCACGGACTTTTCGGTTGGAAGATGCTTTAAAAGTTGGGAGGTCCTCCTTATTTCTGTTGATTGGGCCTCAACATTACTGTCAATTGCTATCCTCCTGCCTCTGGCAGAAAAAGGCTCTAGGGCAAACTTCTTCATCTGAGCCACCGAGGGCTGGTGCAGGATGTTGGTAGAAATATAGAGATTGCACAAGGTCTTCCTTCCCTTCCAATATCTGGCTTCTCTAAATAGAATAGGAGGGACTATTTTGGCTGAAGGGCCATGGATTCTGTTTACCTTATTGACTAATCTCTGCTAAGAGATGGGTGATTTCCTGAGTGTCTCCTCCATGAAAGGGGAGCTCTGGGAAAAGCTTGTACACAGAGAGGTAAAAGATATCTCTACTCTTGTTTCTGAGCCTCAGCCTATTCATCTGTAAAATGGGAACGTTAATCCACAGGAAGTGTTTAGCCCTGTGCTGGGAACTGAGTAACTCTAAGGGAACAGAGGCTATTAGTTGTCCTGTTATTTTGAGGAACAAGAAAACTGGGTCACTGTGGGATTCAGGTGGGAGGCTAGGGCAAGTGGGTGAGGTTTGGGTGCCCACCATTTCAACAACTCTGTGGTCACTTGAATTCTCATCTGTAAGACAAATACAATGATTCCTTCGAGGCAGGAAGAGTTACTGTGACATCACTTGGTGTTTGTTGTTTGCTGCTAAGTCTCAGCAGGAAGCCAAGGACTTTTCCCTCCCCCAGTCCAAGAAGGGGCTGAAATCTTGGAGCTTTGGATCTGGGGCTCCTGCCTTGGAGGTGTACAGATGCTGCTTGTGCTTCTGGGTGCAAATTGGAAGGGGATTGGCACAGAAGACCACCTCTCTTCTTCTTCATGGGGGCCAGAGACCCTGCAGAGTGATGAGGGAGCAGAGAGTAGAGGGAGGCAGTATGATGTAATGGTTAGGGGCTGCTTGGTAGTCGGGCTGAGCCGTGAGAACCTCAGTGTCCTCACTTGTCAGGTGGGAGCACCATAGGCTGTAGAGAAGGCCGTGGGAGTGAAGGTCTGTAAGATCCTTGCTCCTGCAGAGCAAATGCTCATCTTGGTTTCAGTTCCCCAGAAGCAGAGCTTGAGACCAGGATTGAGTGCGGGTAGCCGATTTGGGAGGTGGTGCCGGGAGACATTGGTAGGAGAGGGGGAAAGTGAGGCAGGGAGGGAGACAGCCCATAAAAGTGTGTATCAAGCAAGTGACCCATGGACACCTGGGGCTCAGTCCCTCTGGGGTGCCGTGGGAGCCAGCGTGGAGAGGTTCCCTGCTCCCACAGGGTAAGATAGCAGGGTTACTTATCCACCAAACTCTGGGAAGCCAAGAGATCGAGGATGCAGAACCTGGGAGCCATGGCCATGGCTGTTTTGGACAAGTGCCCCAGCATGGCCAGAGGTCCACGCCGCTCACCTCTGACACAGGATCTTGAGGGCAGGGTGGCCATCTGTTCATCAGGACCATATGTTACCAAAGACCAGAGGTCAGCCCCATCCTCCAGGCTCCACGGAAACCTCACAACTGAACCTTGTAGGACCTTAGGGAACCAGAGGAGCCCCACCCCAGACATGATGGAGATGGACTGTCTCATCTCCCTTGTGAATGGGGGCTCAAAATCCCAGATTTAACATGACTTAGAAAAATAATGGAATGTGGTGTGTAGGATGTGGACCACAAAGTGTGGCTGGGGGTCGAGGGTGCGTGGGGAACTGCAGCACAGGGCCTGGCACTCAGAATTGCCCAGTGAGTGTTCGCTGACCCCAGTGTTAGCACCCTATGTGGGCCTACCCACGTCCTGTCCGAGAAACTCCTTTCTGGCTGCCTTTCCATGTTTCGAGGTGTCCTTACAGCTGTTTTTACTGTGAAGTTGGGTAGTGTCTTTTCCCAAAACACCCACCCGCCCCTTCCTGCCAGGCCCCCATGGGCCATAAGCTCTGTGTGCTGGGATGGGCCCAAAGGCTGGAGAACAGAGGACTTATTGTCCGTCCCCAACCTACTGACATCAGGGAAGTCAGGGAGAAAATGGCAGTCACGCACCGTCTCAGCTAGAAGGGACTTCAGTGATAAGACCCAACATCCTGGAGCTCAGGTGACAAGAATGACAATGACATCACCCATGGATGACATTGTTTGAGCACTTCCCATGTGCCAGGAACCATTTTCTCTCACTTCATTCTCACCACAGCTTTCCAAGGTAGGGACTACAATTCTCCGCATTTTACAGAGAAGGAAACTGAGGCCCAGAGAAGGGGAGCCACATCCCAGGGTCAAACAACCATCGAGGGGTCCAGATCAGAGCTCAAAGCCTGCCTCCAAGAGTCACGCTGTTCAGTGAGCCCTCAACCCGCCACATCGCCAAGGTCAACTCAACGTGTGTCCCCACCAGAGAGGTTGTCCTACCATTGGTGGTCTAGAAACTGACATGGGAGGGGGAGGCAGCAACTGGCTTTCTCATTACTGAAGCTCAGGGAGGTGGTCAAAATCTTGGGCCTTGTCCACATGTATTTTGATGTCACCTAGACATCGCTTGGACGTGGCCCAGATTGACTCATATGTGCTCGAACGTGACCTAGATGTGGCTCAGATGTCTAGTCTCTGAGCTTACCGGGGGTGAAATGACCCTGATTTGGGACAAAGACACACTCCGGACTGCAGGATTCACAGTTTATTGATTGTAGGGAGGGGCAGACTACAGCGCTGGCTCCCACACTCGCACTGAGACACAGTCTTCCCTGGAGGCCACAGTGCAAGTCTTCATTGGGAGAGAGGAAAGTGGGCTGAGGTTCTAAGAGGAGGCTGGGGTGACCACAAGGGCTTCCTGGAATTGGAGGAGAAAAGTCAAAAAAGTTTTTAAAAAATTATTTATTTTATTTATTTGACTGCAGCGGGTCTTAGTTGTGGCATGTGGGATCTAGTTCCCTGACCAGGGATTGAACCTGTGCCCCTTGCATTGGGAGCACGGAGTCCTAGCCACTGAATAGCCAGGGAAGTCCCCTCAAACATTTTTTAATATTCTGCCCTGTTGAGGCTTATTTTGTTTGTCCTCCACCAGGTGACCGCTAACATTGGGAGTCAGGACCCTGAACTCATAAAGGCTTCTTGGAAAGGTCAGAGTAGGAGGGTCTGTGTGTGACCAGTGACACTATGCAGGGGTCTGGGACATGGATGAAGTATCCGGGTGCACAGCCTGGGATTATATAGGGCAGGTGTCTCCACCCCAGCAGATCACCAAATCTCTCAAGAAGTTTCATCAAGTGTAGATTCTGACTGCGTCCATTGGATCCTAGGCAGCTAACATTTTTAACAACACTCTGATTTTTTGGGGGAAACTAAGTGTGATACGAGGAATGGAACCTATTAGATTCTCCCCCAAATTTCTATTATGATAATTTTCAAATATGTAGCAAAGTTGAAAAAATTTTATGGTGAATATTTGTATACTCATCACCTAGGTTCTACCATTAACTTTTTTCAAACCGTACTTGTTTTATCTCAGATCTACCCATTTATTCATTCCTTTGACTAGATTTTAAAACATAGGACTATAAACACGGTATCAGTGTGCTGCTAGTCCAAAACAAAGGAACAAAGCAAAACAGGAAATTTGGAGAAAACATTAAAAAAAAAAAGAGTGAAATGATACCTTTCCAACCCAAACTGCCAATGATGAATTATGGTTTGCAACTTGATTTAAAAAAAAAAGAAGAGAAAGTTGCTAAGTGCCCCCTAATAAGAGATACATGAAATACACTAAGCTCTAGTCACCCAGTTATATGGACACCGGTTGTCCATCCAACATGAATTAAGTGCAGCATGTGTCTTAGATAAACTGCCTATGTGATAATTGAATCACTTTATGTAATAGTTCACTAGTGCATGACCTGTGTATTCAGACATCCCTGGCTAGAAATAGGCAGAGCTGGATTTGAACCAGTTCTTTGGTCCCTGGATCTAGACTTAGCCTCTTTTGTTATCATGCACAGCATGTGATCATAATTCTCCATCAAGGCCAGCTGAAGTATGGACAGATTTTGAGGGTGGGCAGCTGAAAATGAGTCAAATGTCAACATGTCTTTGGAGCCAGTTAACAAAGCCTCTTTCCCTTCCCCCTGTCTGAATGACAGGTAGGATGGAAAAGGCTGGAGGCACATGACCCCAGACTAGGACAGTCACCGTCTTCCACTTACAGACTAGGACACAAGGCCCTGAGAGGAGACGGGACTTGCCCAACGTCCCCCATAAGTGACCAGAGGAGCTAGGATTGAATGCAGCCCCTATCTCCCATCCCAGGGCTCTCCCTCTGACTGTGCCCTCCCTGAGGGAGGGTGTTTAACTCCACTCACCTCGGTCAGAGACAACGAAACCGACTTAAATCCCAAGTCTTTCACCATTGACACTGGGATCCCAGATCTTAATTTGCCTGAAATCACAAACGTGGTCAGAGACTTGTGAGCTGGTGGTGGGGTTGGGCAGCTGTCGGTGGGCTCACAGTTCCTGCACCTGGTATGCCTGATTCTGACTTCTGCCTCTGGCCCTGGCATCCACCCTCCCTCATCTCCCCATTCTTTGCCTCCAGCCCCAGCTTCTGGCTGCTCCAAAGGGCACCCTCACATCCTCTCACACTCCTGCTCAAGAACCATCAGGGGCTCCCATCATCCACAGCAGAGGGGCTTATACTTTGAGATTTCTCACTCTAATAAAACAAAAACATGAAAAAAGCAGGGTGGACATAGGTTACCAGTTCACCCACCCCCATGACCTGAGGTTCAATGAGAATAATTCCCCCTTTTCTCTTGGCTTCCTTCACTAGTGACACAAATAGCAATGCCAGTTACAGCCAACAACAGCAAGAACTGTTGGGCACTGGCTGTGTCAGGCGCCCCCTCTCTTCTCTGTAAAAACATCTTTTTTATGCCTCTGAGGAAGGTGTTGCTATTTCCCCATTTTACAGATGGAGAAACTGAGGCTGAGGATGATAAGGTAGTTTGTTCAAGGCCAGGCAGCCAGCAAAAGAAGAATCAGCACCAGAGCCCAGGTGTATCAGAAGTCCATTGAGCATGCTCTGGTTGTCTGTTTCCACTTCTGTCTCTCTCCTGCTGTTAGCCCATGAGCCTGGGGCATTGCCTGTACCCTCTGTGGATGCCTAAGTTCTGGCATGAGTGAGCAAACTGGGCTGGGGTGTTGGAGATGGGAAAGCTCGTTTCCAGCTGGATGACCTGGAAGTCTTCCTGGAGGAGGTGGAATTCAAACAAGGCTCTGAGGATAGGTGGAAAATAAGTGAAAGGGGCCCCACATGGAGACACAGGCAGGAGAGTAAAGTGCCTGCCCTCAGTGTCCCGGGGAGCAGGGAATCAGACAGCAAAGGGACGCACCATTCTCGTTTGGCAGCAGGATGGAGGTGAGGATCTCGGTGGTGATGTTGTTCAGAAGTTTAGGCTGTGAAAGAGAAATGGCCTCATCACCCTGGCTGAGAATCTGAAGTCCTCTCAGCCATTCCTCAGATGGGCATGGCCCTGCCCTGTGGTGAGGGCAGCAGGTGAAGATGCTGAATCTCAGGTTCCCTGCTGGTCAGAGCTGCAAGGGCTCAAGGGTCAGACATGCTGTGGGGGGAACAAACCAACTGGCCCTAGGTCAGGCAGGTGGGGAGACTGGGGTACACTCTGGGATGCATACTGGGCCCCCAATCTCTAGGGCTCCACTGCTCTGTTCCAGCAGAATTTTCCAAAGGACTTTCATCCTGTTTCCTGAGTTTTTGACTTCTCAAAGGAAGCCAGAAGTCCCGATTTTCATGTGGAAACCACCCCATTAAAAATATTTTAAAAAGAATTAAGAGGCAAAACAAAAGGGTGGAAAAATATGCCTCCCCCACCCAAACAAAGAAACAAATATCCCTCCATGGCAGAAGAGAGGATTCAGCCAATTTGAGATCTCTGATTCATTTTGACTCTTGAGGAAAACTGTGGATTCAGGGAAAGGGGCTGCCCAGGGTCACTGAGATGAGTCTATATGAGCAAAATGTGTTATAAAATAGATTTGTTTTCTAATTTATGGTCAGAACTTTACAGAAGGTAAGTCTGTGTGTATCTGTGTGTTTGCAAATGTGTAGACTCTCAGCTCTATCTGGCATACAGTAGGTGCTCAATAAACACCTGAGCCAGGAAGTTGGACTTTGTGGCTAAGATCGGGGAGGCTGGCCCGCTCACCATGGAGCTGCCCATGGGGACCTTGTTCAAAGCCATTCCTAGGCAATGTCTCCTTTTGAGATGGATCATCCTGGGCAATCTCTTGCATCCCCAGGGAAAATCTGTTCATACTCACTTTGAACACACCAATGTCTGAGTTCATCAGGTGGATCCGATCAGCTCTGCAAGAGAAGATGCCCATGAGGCTGGTCCCTTGGAGTCGCATCCATCCATCCATCCATCCATCCATTCATTCAACAACTATTTACTGAGCACCTACTATGCACCAGACACGGCTCAGGCTCTGGATACAGCAGGGACCCACATAAAACCCTTGCTTCATGAGCTTACATTGTAATGCCCTCATACACTGGAATGAGCTTACATTGTAATGTGTGGGGGAAGTGGGGGAGATAGCAAACATATAGTTGCCAAAAAAGTGGGCAGAAAGATCACCCCCAGGAGTGAAGACCATGGTGAATGGAGGAGACCATCCAGGCAAGGCGGCCTTTCACTTTCTGCCCATTCCCAAGCAGCCTTCACTCGACACTCACACCCCAGAGGTTTAAGATACTGGGTGTTTAAAGAAAGCAGTGGTCACCTGGCATACTCATCTCCATCTCCAGAACCTTCTCAGTGAGTTTTATATTTACCTGATTTCATTAAAGCTGAGCACAAGTAGATTATTTTCGGTGTAAAACTGAAGGTCTGAGGAGGCTTCCTGCAACAAGAGAAACCCAGGACCCATTTATTTAGAGGATTTTTGTCAGGGGTTGGGTGTGGGGCTCTGCACGGAAGCTCTGGGGTCAAGCTGACATGGTCTGAATCTCAGCTGTTGGCTGTGACCTTGGGAAAGGGTCTGACCTCTGTGGGCCTCAGATTCCTTCTCTATGGGTACAGGGCTGGTACCTGTACCATGCCCCAATGAAAAGCTTGCACATAGGATTGCTGATGATGACAGTGATGACAGTAGCCAATATCCACGGGAGCCCTCCTTGTGTGTCAGATGGTGTTTTATGAGCTTTATCTGATTATCTCCTTTGATCCTCATCACTCTGAAATAAGTCCTATTATTATCCCATTGTAGAGGTGTGTAAACTGAGGGACAGGCAGGGTGGTGACTGTTAACTGGTTATTATTATTGCAAAAGTCAGAAGCTAAGCCAGCCTCAAACACAGGTAGATATATCCAGCATCTTGACCCTTAGACTCAGGTGAGCTGAGTACTAGGCTCCAGGGCAGCTGCACCCAGAGAACAGACTTCTCTGGCAGGCCTGGACTTGGAGGCCTTTTCTTAATTTTTAATTCTTTTTAGGCTATGCCAGGTGGAATGCTTTTGAACTGTGGTGCTTGAGAAGATCTTGGGAGTCCCTTGGACAGCAAGGAGATCAAGCTAGTCAATCCTAAAGAAAATCAACCCTGAATATTCATTGGAAGGACTGATTCTGCAGCTGAGGTTCCAACACTTTGGCCACTTGATGTGAAGAGCCGGCTCATTGGAAAAGGCCCTGACACTGGCAAAGATTGAGGGCAGGAGGAGAAGGGAGTGGCAGAGGATGAGATGGTTGGATGGCACCTTTGACTCAATGGACATGAGTTTTAACAAACTCCAGGAGGTAGTGAAGGATAGGGAAGCCTGGCATGCTGTAGTCCATGGGGTGGCAAAGAGTCGGACACGACTGAGCGACTGAACAACATGTGGGTCTTAGTTCCCTGACCAAGGATGGTGGCCTTTGACAAGTGCCTGCTATTGGCCACGGAGGGCATGTCCCCAGGGAGTGAGGCTGGCTGGGGTCGGTCCCTTCTCCCTGCTTGTCGGGGGATCAGGGGATCCCTGCACCCCCACGGGAAGCCAGGGCTCCATGCACCCTGTAGTTGTGTGAGTGGTGCCCACTGACGAGGCGCGTGGACAGCTTGCCCAGGGCCTGCAGCTACCCTCCTGGAAGGAGAGGGTAACTGGCCTCTGACAGCCAGGTGCTGTCCAGACTCCTTGGCTTGGCATGGAAGGCCTCGCTTATCCAGGGCCCAACCTTGGATCTTGCCTTGTCTCTCTCTTCCTTCTCCTTGTCCTCTGTAGGATGCAGTTGGTGCCCCACTCAGATCCCCCTTTTTTGGGTGGGGCGCCCATTCCTCAGCCGCTGAGTGTCACTGCTGCCAACCGTTCCCCGCCATTCCCTGGTCTGAGGACCTGCCTTTGCTGGATCGACCTTGCTGGGAGGTTGTGTTCTTCCTACCTTGGGGGCATTAAGTGAGCAGTAATTGACAGACAAAGGCGTACAAGAGGCCGGCCTTCTTGTTTCAGCCTGGGCTCAACCTCGTGGTGTCACCATACTCCAGAGCTCACTGTGGGATGAAGCAGAAGCCAGCTTCCAGCTGAGGCTACATCCTTGCTTGGTCCTTCTCCTGGGAGCTCTCCCCCAGTACAGCACTTTTCTAAGGGTCTTTGTCTTGGGCCTGTTTCTAGGGACCCTACCTAAGATATCTTCTACTGGGCTTGTCCTTTGATGAGCCCACCCCCAGATATTTATCCACAGGGTCCTTCTAAATGGAAGCTCTGAGGTCTGACCTGCCTTGGTTACTGGGAAAAGCAATTCAGAACTTACTTGGAGATGATTTACTTCTGTTCATCCTTTGGAAGAGGAAGAGGAATTATCCCCTTTCTCTCTAGGCCTGTGGTTTGAATACAGCCAACCCCAATCTCCCAGTGTGGGGGGGGGGTGTGTGTGTGTGTCCCAGCTCAGAAAATTTACATATTTCATTTTTCTGGTCACACTGATTGGTTCGTGAGTGAGCATTTGACCCTAACTCATCCAATGAGAGTCAGCTTTCGAACTTTTGCTGAAACTACTGGGAAAGAGAAGTTTTTCCATTGAGGTTGCCAAGCTGATAGGTTATAAGCCTGATGTGGCTTAGGGGCACTTCCAAGAAGGGACAAACTGCCTGAGGGTGAAGGCAGCACAAAGGGAAACAAGGCTGCCAGATGGGAAGAGAGAAGAATGAAGATGACATTGTTTGAACACCTACCTGATGCAGCTATTCCAGAAACCAACACTGACCTGGACTTTTCAGGTATATGAGCTACTGCAATTCCTTTTGTGCATGTGAATTAAATGTCTGCCCAAAGATTCTGACTAATTAAGAGTTGTGCCCCCAAAGCCCCTGATTCTTGGTTCAAAATTCCCTTCCCCTAGTTCCGTGAGGTAACGAGAGTGGTGGAAAGGTTTAGCAAAGCAAGAGGGGGTGAACAAGAACCGCAAACAGGGGGCTTCCCTAGGTTGCTGCCAATGTCTCAGACAACTGAACTCACGATGCCCAGGGTGAAGAGGGGGCGGCTGTCTTTATCGTTGGCGAATATTTCCAGCACGATCAGTTGGGCCACCTTGGCATTGCCCTGGTCCAGAATGAGCACAGGAGCCGTCTGACTCAGGATCTTCACAGTCTGTGTGGGCCCCAGCTGCTCTGCTGCCTGGAAGGACATCAGACCCATATGAGGCCCCTCAAGTGCCTGCCCATAGGCCACGAGCCCCATTTGGTCCCATGAGACCTGGCCACTGCCCACCTTCCTGGACTCCCCCATTCCTCTCTGAGCTTCCTCAGATCCTAGAATAGATTGTTGTTCTGCCCATCTCACAGTCTTTGGTTTGGCTTCTCCCTCTGTCTGGAAAACGTTTTCCTTCAGGGAAGCCCTCCCTCATCTCCCAGGCTGGTTCAGATACCCTGGCAGTTCTCCTGTAACCCCTAGAATCTATCTGTCCTTTGTCATCACTAACTGTCCCGTTAGATTGGAATCTCCACGAGGACAGGGAGCAGTGTGTTACAGTCACCAGCGCTGGGGGGACAGAGTGCTCCCACACCTCCCTCCCTCCCTCCCCAGAGGCCAGCGGACAGACCACAGCAAACACCCTCCAAGCTGCAGATGGCAAATGGACCAACCGTTTCGTCGATCACCTTGATGCTTGACTTCAGCTTGCGGGCTACCTCAGGAAGCTGAGGAAGAGAGGAGGTCAGAGCTGGTCAGCTGGTGGGGAGAGGGGAGACACACCTCCAGCAGTCCTGCTGCCGGGATCCCCCAAACCCCAGAGAAGCTGGGAGAGTCTGGTGGCCCAGTGCACGTGTCTGCTCCTGGTGGGAAACAGCCTCTATGTCAGTGGCTGTGGGGAATGAAGTCCCAGCCAGCCTGGACGTTTACTGTGGATTGTTGGTGCCCGTGGGTCTGCGGGCAGCTTCCTGTTCTCAGAGGACACAGAAAAGTGACCCAATTCTTACCAGAGTCGTGAATGTGGTTGCTGGTGACCATGCCCCTTTCCCTGTCATTCCAGCCCCTCCCCCTAACTTCTAATCCCCAAGAGCTTGGTGATTTGTCAGCTGACTTAAAGTCCTGCCCTGCTCCCATATCTTTGGGCCAACCCTGTCCCCTTCTGGGCCCCATCAGTCACCTGGAGGAGATGGCACACCCCAGTGGACTGGTGGTGGTTTTCTGTTGTGCTGGGTTAATAAAGGATTCCGAGGCTGTGACAGAATCCAGGCTCAACAGGCAGGAGGGCCCTGGGAGATGAGTGATGTCTGCCGTGGGCCCTGCAGTGGATGGCAGCAGTGCATCGCCGTCCCCGGGGCAGTCAATATCTAAGATGCCCTTTGGACAGGACTGTTATCTGACAGAGGAAGCAGGTGTTTCAGGTTCCAGGAAGGCGGAACTAGGACTGGCGCTGGATGTTACAGGAGGTTTTCAGCTTTCTAGTTACATATATGTCAGAGGCAGGCTCTGTTCAAGGAAGGAGTGAGCTCTCCATTGCTGGTAGTATGTAAATCAATCCTGAAAGGAGGTTCCTGCTTGGGGAGGGCGGGGGCAGTCCTTACACCCTCTTTGATTCAGGAAATCCCCATGATGCAGCAGGGTTGGCTTCAGGCTCTGTTCCATGCTGAGACTTACCACATGGTCCAACTGGACTGTGAGTTTTCCTGAATGGAGCAAGGCAGCTATGATAGTGACCACCACGTCCCTCCTCACGGTGAGCCTGAAAGGGGTCTGGTTCAGGGTGGGCAGATTCAGGGAATCCCCAGCAACACTGAACAGCTTAGTCACCTTTCCTTCCGAGTTGAACAACCTGGCCTGCAGAGACACAGAGCAGAGAGAATTTAAGCTCCACAGTGTATCTAGTAATAACCTAGAAGGAAACGACACCCTCCAGCCTGTTTTTCTTTTTGCAGTTGCCTCCAGGAAGCTTAGCCTGGCAGTCAGGGCCTTGCTGTTGTAGATGAAGAGCTGTCTCAGCTACTTAGCAACACCTACCCCATCTGCACCCCTCAAGTAATCTCCAGTTTTTAAAAAATCTAGATGTCTTGTTTGGTACTTAGGTTTCAACTTCTCAGACACCGCAGAAACCCTTTAGATGAAGAGAAAATCCAAGACTGCAGCAGAATGTGTGGAAATGTTTGATGCTGCAGTTTTCCAGGGGTCCATGAAAACGGGCCTGAGTTTCACGCTGCCTTGCTTGGCCTGGTCCCAGAGGGTGTCCAGACCCTGTGTGGTGGGTGGCTCCATGTTTTAGAAAGAACTGATGGTTACTGGGTGCCTCCTGCCTGCCAGGCCCCATGTGGTATCGTTTCCTCCTCTCTTTAATGACTGTGTTCTTACATTTTACAAATGAGGAATTTGAGGATCAGAGAGGTGAAGAAACTTATCCCAAATCACACAGCCAGAGAGTTTTGGAGCTGGAAGAGAAATTTAGATCTGTGTGATCCTCCATGATGTGTCTGGGCTCCTGTTCAGAATCACCAGATATTTGAGGATTGTCAGGGGTTTGCCTGAGAGAAAGACCCAAGAGTCCCTCACAATCTGGCCCCTGACGGTGGAAATCAAGGTTGGCGGAGACTGGGTCATTGAGGTCGATAGTCTGTGTGTGGCCCGTACATTCCAGTTGCTGACTATTCTTTGCCAGAATGGTTTATGGGGTGGTCAGCCTGTTGAAACTTTTCTAAGTCTGCCTGTATGTACTGTGACCCATGTTTTCTCACCTAAAGCAGACCAATGGTCTCTGACTCCTGGTGGTCAGAGAAGGGAAGGAATGTCCCCACTTTCCCTTGGAGGTCCCATGACACTCACCCCCAGGATGAGATGGACAACACTGTGGTCGATGACAGGAGAAATATAATCAAGCTTCAGGTGCTCAGAGTTGAGAGACATGGGCACTGCTCAGGGAGAAGAAAATTCTGTGAGGGTGGAGGGCAGTACTGGATGGCTTGGTGGGAAGTTGCTTTTGGCTGAAGCACCATTTTTGCACAGCGAAGGGGGGAGTGTAGGGGTAGGAGCAGGAGTCATGATGATGTTAATAAGGACAACGATAAAAATGATGAGATACTGGCTGACATTTATCGAGCACCCGGTAATGCGTTAAACTGTATACATGTTAGCTCATGGAATCCCACAAAACCTTAGGTCCTGCTCTTACCCTCATTTCACAGATAGAGAAACCAAGGCTCAGAAAAGTGGCATGACTTGCTCAAGGGTATACTGTAAAAGGATCTGAACTCAGCTGGGCCTATGTCAACATTTTGGTTTGAAACAAAACTGACCTATTGTTTATATCTCTCCACCTTCCCTACCAGTCTGATCTGTGTTCTCCCCCCGCCCCGCAGGGTCTGGATCTGTCTTGTCCCTTGCGTCCTCCTCGGGATTCCCCACTTGGCCACCAGGTGGCAATGGCGTCTCATCTGCCCTGGCTGTGGGGTGGAGAGCAGAGACCAGGGAGGGATGTGGGAAGTTCGTTCCTTGGTCTGCCTGCTTCTGGGAGAGCCTGTGGAGCCCGGGGAGCCTGGGGAACCCTCCCGCTCTGCCCCTGGGGAACAGAGGAGATGGATAGACTTGGGGTTCTTGCCCTAGTAGCTTCGGCTAGCCTCTTCCTGCCTTTGAACCTCAGTTTCCTCATCTTAAAATGGGGAAGGTGAAAGTCGCTCAGTCCTGCCTGACTCTTTGCAACCCCATGGACTATATAGTCCCTGGAATTCTCCAGGCCAAAAATGGGAAGGCAGTAGTATACTTGCCCTGTAGATTGTACAGGGCTGATACCTAGTAAAGTTAGCTCAGATCTGAATAAACCAGACTTGAAACTTACAGAATTGAGTTATCACTAATTCCTCCTGTGAACTGGGACAAATGATTTCATTTCTGAACCTCAGTTTCCTTATCTGTTAAGTAGGATAATGATTGCTACCTCATGGAGTTGTCTGAAGGGTCAGTGGAGCAGTGTAAATAAAATACTCAGTCCAAGGACTTGGCCCAAAGTAGGTGCTCTATACATGATGAAAACCTATTGATTCCATTCTCCCCTTCCCAGTCCTCTCTGGTGGCTCTTTGAATGAGCCTCTTCAGATCCCCAAAGAGTAGATGGTAGAGTTTTCTTCTCCCCACCAATCCCCTCTCTGAGGGGCCCAAGAATTCAGACTTTCACTGTGAAGGGTCTGAGGATACAATTTGTTTCTTCCCTTGATCTCTCTTCTCTGATAGCCCACAGTAGTCTCTGTATCATCCTTCCATCCATCCATTCAACTATCCATCCATCCAGCCATCCAACCATCCATCTATCCATCCATCCAGCACACATCTGTTGCACCTCTCTGTGCCAGGCAGAGCACTTGCCATGTACCAGGCACTCTCCCTTAAAATTTGAATCCTCACTAACAATCCTGGAGGTAGGGATGTATAAGCCTGCTTTTTCAAAGCCATGGAACAAATCAGTGGCAGAACTGGAATTTGATCTTGGGTTTATCTGGGGCATCCACTGGCTCACATAGAAACTTGCATGTACTGTGTACTCAGGAAATCACAGCTGTGGTGATTTCCTGTCTGTTCATCCTGGACAGAGATCAGATGATGCTTGTCCCTCTTGCTACCGGGCTGAGTTGCTGCTCAGGCCTGGCCAGGGGAGGCTTGCCTTGGGCAGAGACAGTGCTTGGAGGTCATCTCAGCAGTCAAGGAAAAAGGAGAGGGAAAGTGGTGCACCTACCCTTCGTCAGGTTCAGGAGTTCCCCACGCATGTTCTCAAAGGCCGCCTTGAGCACAGGACACAGCTGCAACAGCACACATGAGGGCCTCCATCAGCCAGGGTCAGCACACTGCCCCAGTGACCCGTGCCCAGCTCGCCTGGGCTAAATCCTGCCCCTGTGCCCACGGCCAGCCAAGTTTTCACCCACGTGCTTGAGGGCTCAGTGGTGCATCTACTCCCCCAACCATCACCGCTGCTCAGAGATCACCACAGCTTCTGGTGTCACCTGGGATCTTTGCAATGATTTGTCGCTTGCCCTGTGTCCACGTGTGTCTGACCTGCCAGCTGTCCTCCCTATGAGACTCATTGTATTCACAAGAGCCCACGTTTCCATAAGAGGGAAATGCAGAATGCGTTCCTTCATTCACTTCTTCAGTCAAATTCCAGCAGTTCTCAGTAGAGGTGATTTTGTCTCCCAAGAGACATTTGGAAATTTCTGAAGACATTTTCAGTTGTCGCAGTTTACTGGTTAGTGTTACTAGAATCTGGTGGAGGCCAAGGATGATACTAAACACCCTGCAGTACATGGGACAACCCCCGCGACGAAGAATTATGGGGACCAAATGTCACAGTGACAACCCCAGCCTCAGCTGTTCTGCTTGGGAAGAAAGTTAAACATTTAGCTCACTTGATCCTGGGGCCCAAAGGCCTTGCTCCCTTGTCCTAAGCTGCCTGTTTTCCAGGGCCGTGCTCTGAGACTCTGTTATTTTGTCTTAGGTTAAAATTCCGCAGTGAAGAACCTTCTGGTTGACCACCTATTGCTACTTTTGAGAAATGACTCCTCACTTTGATAAATGTTAATTTTTCCTATGAAAAGCCAGTTCCCTTCTCCAGCTGCTTTGCCAACCCTGAACCCAGGGAGGATGGAGGAGTTGGGTTCAGGGACTCCCAACATTTTCTGCCTGTTCCACATGGGAAAGGTGCCCCTGGCCCCCTCTTGCACCCCCTCCCATAAATCCCCTCCCTTTAGCTCCACCCCTGGGGCTCAACCATGGTGACATGCTAAAATCCTCCTCTGGGGGAGCTAGAATCCTCTGAGATACCAGGGCCCCACCAGACCAATTAAATCTCTGAGGTCGAGCCCTGATATCTGGGTTTTTAAAAAGCCCTCCCAGGAAGTTCTGATGGGCAGCTGGCATTGGGACCCACAATTAAAGGGGCTTTAGCATTTTCTTGGTGGGCTCCTGCCAGATTTAAACATGCTGCCCCCTTTCCTTTCATGCCACTTGAAATATTCATAGGGGGTAGCTTCAAATCCAGTGATTCATGGTGGGAAATCATGATGATTAATGGAAGGCCAGTTTTCTCAAATTGTTCACTGGATTTGGCTTTTCAGCCTTAAAAGCAGATATTTTCCCAAATTGTTTCTCAGTTTTTCATTGCTCGCTGTATTCGGCTTTTCACTCTTAATAACAGGCTATTATGCAAAGAACATTTTATAATCCCAGGTTCTTGCTGTCTTTTCTAGTGGAAGATATATTTTTAGCTAGTAAAGTATAATGCCAGTTAAAATGTGATTTTGCCAGAGGCTGGGAAAAAAAATTTCCAGCTGAGCCCTGCTTTAAGAAACTGTCACCTTTAAGTAGAAGAAAAATTTCTTTAAAAAAAACTCATGTAAGTAAAGCTAAGTTTTACAAAATCATTCCTTTCAGAAGGCTCTCTGGAAAGGTTTTAGAAAGCATTGAATAGGACTTCCCTGGTGATACAGCGGATAAAACTGCTTGTCAATGCAGGAGACACAGGTTTGATCCCTGGTCTGGGAAAATTCCACATGCTGGAAGCATATTAGCTTGTGCACCACAGCTATTGAGCCTGCACTCTAGAGCCTGTGAGCTGCAACTACTAGAGCCCATGTGCCTAGAGCCTGTGCTCTGCAACAAGAGAAGCCTCCACAAGGAGTCCATGAGCTGCAACTAGTGGCCCCCGCTCATTGCAACTAGAGAAAGCCTTCACATGGCAATGAAGACCCAGAGCAGCCAAAAAATAAAACAAACAAACAAATAAAAATTTAAAGAAAGGATTAAATATGGTGTAGTTATTAAAATAGTTATGACTATCATACAGTGGTGTAGGAAATAGATATCACTTAGAGGATATCAAATAATACTGATGCTGAGTGCAGCCACATAAAAATATGAGTGCAGATGGAGGGAGATTTGGAAAACAATATACAAAAGAGAAAATAGATGCTAAGTTAAGGTAGGAGGATTATGGGTATTTTTCTCCCAAAGGTTTAGTTATTATATTGTGTTTTTCAGTCAAAAAAGTTTTATTATAAAAATATATTAATTATCTGACAAGGTATTTTTAAACCCAGGAGACCCACTGTTGTGAACACATCTTGGAATTCACAGAGAAAATCAATGGTCATAATGGCAGATAAATCCAACTTACTGAGTTTTAGCTAATCTGTGACATATAAGGGACATAAAAAGGGAGATGGACTCGTGTTCACTGACTCAGAAAATTAAATCCAACAAGACCTGCTGGGTAACAACCTCCTGACAACACAACCAGGGTAGTGTGGGACCCTGGTGTGCTAGAGCCAACTTGGATCAATTTTTGAGAATTAAGTGCTAAATTTTCAGGAATTTCTGAGCTTGGTGCTAAACCTGACATTATAAAAATCAAGTTGTATACACTTACAATTAAGTAAGTTATGCTAAGAGCAAAGTCAACTCAAAACTCATTACTTCCTAATTATTCTGTTCTATTTTACCATTATCCATTGCTCTTGAAGTTATTTATGTCTATTATATCAGCATGGTGGAAACACCATCCAATAATGTGCAACTAAGCATCTCTTCCTGACCCTGCTCAAATGTTTGCCCCGATTTCTGCTCAGTGAATTCACACTAGTAGCTTGAAATTGGCAACAGAAGGGATGTTCACATCAGGGAAGTCAGGGAATGCTACAAATAAGGGCTCCCTTCCTCCAACCCCTCCTGAGTCGATTGTTAACAGTTTATCAGCACATCACTGTTCAAGGTCCCCTGGCTGCCTTTTGGCAGTTTCATTACCTTGACCACAAGGATCCTCTGCTGAAAGAATGACCTAAGCCCAGAAACTTCCCACTCAAAGGAGACACAGATCCCTTAGCACCAGCCTGCAGTTCCACCTCTTACCCACAGGGGGGCAGGCTTCACAGACCAGAGAGACCCTGACTGCTTACCTCGCTTTTCACCAGTTTGGGGAGGGCTGGTGTCAGAAGGCTTATGACCTTCTCGGCTAAGCAGTTGAGCAGGAAGGAGAGCCTTTGCGGGAGGAGAAGAGGAGAGAGATGAGGTGGGTCAGGGATGATCACCTCTCCCCTGTGTTACAGAAGGCGAGACCAAGTCCAGCGAAGGAAGGAACTTGCCCAAGGCACAGGGCATGTTAGAGACAGGGCTGGATGTGGCCCCTGAGCCTGGTGAAGGTGGTGGCAGATTGTTCTCAGGGACACGGGCTGGGCGTTGTCTTTAGGAACATTATCTGGACACTGGAATGAAGGCAGTGGGCATATCCCCCGATCTCCTGCTAAGGAGGGATGGAGGGAAGCATCTTGTCTTTGAGCAGCTGTTGTGTGCCCTGCACTCAGTTGGGTACTTGAGGACACTGCCCGATCTCATCCTCTCACTATGGAGGTGAGGCACGGGGAGGTGACTTGTCCAGAATGTTGCCTGGACAGTAAATGCGAGAGTTGCATTATGCTCGCCTGACTCCATAGTTGAGTCCCATGGCTGCACCCAAGCCTGCCAGTGGTGGTTTGGGGCCCAGAAAAGAGCCTCCTCTCCACTTTCAAATGTTTGTTCCAATTTCTGGCACGATGACTGAAATCCCATCATTATTGCTTCACCCTTGAGCTTTCTTTGGTGTCACAGATTTCCTGAAAGGAGCCCCAGACCAGGAATCAGGAGGGAAAAGTCCCTTTCTTTCTGAGGGCCTCAGTGTTCTCCATCTGTAAAATGGGTCCAGGACACCACCTGGCTTCCCTCCCAGGTGTGCAAGGGGCCCGGTGAGAGGTGGCGGCACTCACTTGTGCATCAGGCTGATGCGCAGGCTCCCGCTGGTGTTGGAGCACTCGCTGAGGGCCAGGTGGGCGTGGTCCTTCTCGCTAGTCTCCACATGGATGATGGCTTGGGCCTCCACCTCCATGTGCAGCTCCACCATGGTCTTGAAAAGGGGCCTGGGAGTGGAGGAGCCCCATGTTGTGAGCTCCAGCCCAGCCTGAGGTTGGATCAAGCCGCAGTTGCTGTCCACCGCTGTCTCCTGCCGCTTGCTCTTCCCTTCTCAGGCTCCATGCTGGGTCCTCCTCATCCCCTCATGTGTATACCTCACTGTGTCCCAGGCTCAGTGTTTGTATTCCTTTTCTGATTTAAATCCTCTACATATGCCAGCTTCTGAACAAACCTAACTTCTTTCTCAAATGTCTTACCGGCATTTCAGATTTAACGTGTACGTGAACAGAGGCGCCTGGCGGGCTACGGTCCATAGGCTCGCAAAGAGCTGGACATGGCTGAGCAACTAATACACACAAACTGAACTACGGATCCTTCCCCAATCCTTCTCCTCTCTTGATCTTTCCTGCCTTGTTTGTTGGCCACTCCATACTGTCTTGACCCTTCAACCTCCCCACCACCCTAGCCCTACCCCAAGCCCTAATTGTATCTGTCAGCAAATCCTCTTGTGACCTCCGAGACATATTTGGAATCCAGCTTCTTCTCACTACCTTCCTGCTCCTAAACCCTGGTCCACACTCTTATTGTCTCCTCCTGAATTATTACAGTGGCTTCTGGATAACCTCCCTGCCTCCAGCCCTGCCCCCACACACAGCAGCCAGGTGGCTTCTTGAAGAATGTGGAATCACGTCACGTCCCTCCTCTGCTCAGAGCCCTGCACGGCTCCTGTCTTCCTTGGTAAAACCAAGTCCTCACCTTGGCCCACAGGCCCTTTATGGCCCCAGCGGCCTGCCGGCCTGACCTCCCACCAGGCTGTCTCCTCCTGCTGTCTCCTCCCCTCCCTCCTTAGGCCACTCTGTGAACCAGTCATGCACTCTTGCCTGAGGGCCTTTGCCCTTAACTCTCCCCTCTGCTTGGAACTCTCTTTTCCTGAATGGAGGATGAGGGTGGGGAGAATGAGTGGAAGAAACTGTCCGGCTCACGGTGCCCGACCCAGGGGACACTCACGTGTTGAATTCAGCCACTATGTCCAGGGGGGCCTTTATCATCAGCTGCTGGCTGTCGGCCAGGGGCTGCACCTGCAGCTGATGAATGCTGGCTGAGGTGACTTTCAGCCTGGACAGGACACGGGAGGGTTGAGTTTTATGCTTCGTATTCAAATGAGCATCATCCCCAGACTGGTCCCCATCTTAGCTGTCCCCCAAAGTGTCCAGGTGGCAGCTGGACCCAAGCCCTGTCCGCTGACTCCCCTCGGCATGGTCTTGCTCCCCTCCCCCTCCCCACTGTCTGTAACATTTCCATGGCTCCCCTCCTAACTCAGGAGATGAACCTGAGCTTCTGGGTCTGACCTGTAAGACCCTCTGTGCCCTGGCCCCTTTAACCTCTCCCCTTTGGCCTTGGGGTCTGAGCACCAGCCATTCGGACTCTCCCCCACCCTTTGCCTCTGCCCAGGCCAGCCTCTCTGCCCAAGTGCCATTTCTTCTTGTCTCCTGGTGAGCATGGAGTCATTGGCTAACCTATCCCCCCCACTGAGAAGCATCGCCTTTTCTCTTCATCCTCCCACCCCAGGCGATCTTCCTCTGGGGTCTTCCCTCTTAGGGTTCCTGGGTCCCTCTTATGGTTCTTGTTAACTCCTCTGGGAGCCTCTGAAGGAGAGGCTTTTTTTAATCCATCCTTCACGGTCAGGCACAGAGTTGACACCAGCCGATGCTTGTTGACTGACCCCTTGAGCATGCAAAGCGTGTCCTGGGCAGAGGAGTGGGCAAAGAGCCAGCTCTCAGCTTGGTTCTGCTCCACTTACCAGAGGATTTGCTTCAGGATGGATTTCACCAGGTTGCCGGAAATGTCCCCGGACGACTCCTTCTCCAGGGCACTGAGAAGCGACAGCTTCTGCAGGGTGTCGGTAACATCGTGATTCTTCAGTTTCTGTGTCAGCACTGGAGACAGATCCCGGGGATTAGCGTCCAGCGGGAGGGGCGAGGAGAATGGCTCGGTGGGGGCTCCAGGCTGGGAGGGGACACCACTCAGGGCTACTTGGACTGGGACATAAGGTGGGGGTAGGGATGGCTTCATTCTGAGGATGATGGTCCAGACGGATTATTTTCACATGGAGACTGTGAGTGGGCATGGGTGGGACCATTCCCACCCTTGAACATTGCCAGCCTCCGTGAGGAGTGTTGGTCAGGACACCTGGAACAGAGACCTACATGTCTCTCACTATCCACTGGCAAACACTCCAAGAGGCAGGGAGCTCCTAAGGCCTTGTTTGGGGCTGTTTTGCTGCTGAAACAAACTTGCTAATGATTCCCTGGCATGGGGAATCCCATGGGCCTGTTGCCCGAAGAGCCCCAGGTACCATGTAGAGAAAGGAAGAGCCAGGAGCCCTGGGTTCTGGTCCCTGCTGGAAGTCTCCCCTGACGACTGGAGCCCGTTTGTCTTGTGTGACGAGCAGGTCAGAGTGCGGGAGAGCTGATGCTGAGAGCAGCATTGGAGAACAGCCCTCAGCCAATGAATGACTGGTGGGAATTGGTGTATAAAGACCCTGCCTCCTTCCCTCCATCCCAGGGCAGGATGACGGGTGTGTGTCCTCTGCTGTGTCCCAGAATCCCTGTGCGTTAGTGCCTTGCAGAGACCAAGCCAGCCTTTTTGCCTGCACTGTGATGATGGAGCTGGCCCCCATAAATAAGCCTCCTTTGCCAGCCAGCGCACTGTTCAGTACTGGCTGTCAAGGTTCTGGAGGGACATGGAGGAGGGATAAGAAGCTTGGCCCTGGCATGCTTCTCTGCCTGGCTCCAGTCGTGTCACCTCCCAGGACTTCGGGCTGGGAGTTGAGTGGATTTCCTCGGGCAGCCGGTGACCCCCAGCTCCCTCCTAGGTAGTTGCCCGAGACAGCTTCCCAGTGAATCAGTGGTAGTCCCTCCTGCAAAGAATTCCATTGGCTCCCTGGCAGGCAGTTCTCTGCCATCTGGCCTCAGCCTGTCAACCAAGGACCGACTCTGACCTGGGACAGTTCGGGGAATTTCCCCACCATTCTGGGGGGCTTCAACCTTCTCCCCCCATGAGTTCTTGGGGAGGATTCTCCCCACCAGGTTTTTTCTGTACTTGGATTTGAGGTCCCTGCTACATCCCAACCCCTAGGGGATTCTTTGGCATTCTCTCTTTTTTCCTTCTTAGCTGGTTTCCCAGTGTTTCAGTTCTTGCCAATAATATCTGATACAAACCCATCTGTTGGGCTTACTGTGTGGTTTCTGCCTTCTGACTGGCCCTGACTAACGCAGTTGCCCAGTGGGACTGAGCCCCAGTTCCCAGTGATAACTGGCTTGCCTTTACCTGACTTGCTTCCCGCTCTCCTGCAGCTGCTGCCTGGGATCACCTCCAAAACCACCCCCTTGCACACAGCTCCTCGACTCAGACTCTGCTGCTGGGGAACCTAAATGGCTGCCCCTCTCCAAGCTCCTTCTGGCTGAAATTATGTGCTTGCAACTCAGTGTTGGCCCAGAGCATATGTGCCTCCCCCAGGAGTGCCTGGAGTTCTCAGCTCCCCTTCCATCCTAGGGGATCCATCCTCTCTAGTGGATATATATCTATCCTATATCCACAGGCTATAGTGCCTTTCAGCTGTGCAGGACCTGGCCCACGCACAGGCCACAGCCCAGGCCCACTGTACACAGAAGGTTGGTCTCTGTGTGTGCCAGTTGGACTGTTTTTGGTGTCACAGATGGGCCGAGGATGCTACTAAACAGCTAGAAGGCCCAGGACAGCATTCTCCCTATAACAAAGAGGTATTCAGCCCCCGAAGGCAGCAGTGCTGAGGCTGAGGAGTTCAGCTGTAGAGACCATTAAGTAGTTGTCACTTTCTGTCTTATTGGATGATCCTGACAACCCGGGGAGCGGGGAGGCCCTCTTGCAGAGGAGGAAGCCAAAGCTTAGGGCGCTGCCAGGGCCACAGAGCCGGAGCTTGATAAAGCTGAGCCTGGGGTGCAGGCAGCCAGATTCCCAGCTGAAGGTGCTTGCTTTGGAGACTAGTTTCGTACTAGGTCTAACCCAGAGGAGGGGCTCTGGCAACGGGGTGTAGGCAAGAGCAGCCAGAGAGGCATTTGCATCATCGCATGTGGTGGCTGCATACTGCTTTGAGGGCTGTGGACCTCAGAGTAGTAGGTTTTAGAATCATGGCATTTAACAAAGGGATCTTGGAATCATAAATACTTGAGATCCTAGACCCTCCCAACCTTTGTAACTCACCCCGTCAAATCTCACTCAAGACTTGGGATCCAGCCATGCCTTGTATACCCCTACTGATGGGGAACTCTCTCCCTCCCTTGGAGGGCTGCTCCACCTGCCCCCTCGCCTTACGGTGATAAGGGCTGGGTGGCCAAGACTTACTCTGCTTGATGACTTCTGAGCTGAGACTGAGAACCACAGGAGGGCTTAGGGTGGCTCCTACCAGCTTGGCTGCCAGCAAACCACAGAGGAAGGTGAGGGTCCATGGGTAGGCCATCTTCTTTGGGGTTGGCAGGTGGCACGTGGCAGAACCTGGGATGAACACAGAAGGCTCTGTTAGCTGAGCAGAGAAGGCCCAGGCCAGGCCTGCCACACCTGGTGACTTGGGGCCATACAGTCCAGGAGAGGCTGTTTAGTGAGATGGTTAAGAGAGTAGGCTCTGGAGCCTGACTGGGTCTCTGTATCCTTTGACAATCAAATTAACCTCTCTGTGCCTCAGTTTTCTCATCTGGAAAATAGGCCTCATGACTGCTACTTCATGGAGTCAAGGTTAAATGAAATAATATCTAGAAAGCATTTAGCACCATGCCTTTTGCATGGCAGGATTCCCAGGTGGTGCTAGTTGTAAAGAACCTGCCTGCCAGGGCAGGAGATGTAAGAGATTTGGGTTTGATCTCTGGGTTGGAAAGAAACCCTGGAGGAGAGTAGGGCAACCCATTGCAGTATTCTTGTCTGGAGAATCCCATGGACAGAGGAGCCTGGTGGGCTACAGTCCATAGGGTCACAAAGACCTGAACACGACAGAAGAAACTTAGCATGCAAGCATGCTTTTGCAAGGTGAGCACTTGGTAAATATTAATTATTTTCTTACAGGACATCCACATTCAGTACTCAGGACAAAACATTTCTGCTTCTGTTTTTTTCCCCACCCATCACTGTGGCACTTAAAGCGCTCAACCTCAGCCAATTTCCCTCCCTGGGTTTCCCCTCTTGCTCTACGAAGTTCCAGTCATTCCAAGCTGCTTGAAGTTCCCAGAAAAAACCCTGTTCTCTCCCATCTGGTCTTCGCCCTGCTCTTCCTGCTTCCTGCAATGCTGTCCCCCTTCCTTCTCTGCCTGCTGAACTGTTCATTCTTGAAAACTCCCCTCATGTGTCCCTTTCTCTGTAGAGATTTCCTTTTCCTGTAACCTGAGAGTCTGGACCACACTTGGAGAAAGGTCGGCCTGGGGACTAGTGTGTGCCCAGGATAGGAAGTGCAGGTTGGAAGGTGAGCATTCAGGTAGGAGGCAAAGTGGTAGGAAAGCTGTTTGCTTAATTCACAGGGTCCCCCTGAGCAGACTGTGAGCTCCAGGAGGACAGATTGGGTCTACCTGCTCCCCTCTGAGTCCTCAGGACCCAGCATAGCACACAGTGCTTTAATAAGTGGTTGCTGAATGAATGAATGGCCCTGGGAGCCCTGGAAGAATGGGGGAGTATGAGTTTCTGAAACTGAAGAGGTCTGGGCCATGGGAACTGCTCTCGATTCACAGGACCCTCGTTCCTGAGTCTTGGATGCCTGAAGGAGGAAGAGAAGTGTTGTGGGCCTGGGAGTCAGACAGGCCCAAGTGGGCAGGCTGCCTCTACAACTTGCTGTGTGTTCTCAAGCAAGTGGCTTGTCCTCTCTGTCTGTTTCCACATCTGTAAAATAAGGGGTAATAATAATGATACTTACCTCGCAGGGTTGTTGGGAGGATTCAATGGGACCATCCCTTTGTAGCCTCATATGCCACAAGTGCCCAATGAGGGTTAGCTGTTATTCTGATAATGACAGTTATTGTCGCTAATACTGAGGTCAGAAGGAGCCACCTTGCAGTCAAAGCCAGAAGACAGAGGGGACGCCCTCCCTGCACCTGCTCTTTTGCCCAGGAAGCCCCCCATCCCCACTCCATAGTCTTTTTGTTTCAAGTATCTTGACCCTGTTTTCCCTTCATTATTAACTCACAGTGATCTGTTCTCTGATCAGAGGCTCTCAGGGGGGCAAGTGGATGGTAGCCTCCCCTCCTGTGGAAAATTGTCTTCTCTACAAATCCAAGCACCGTATGCCCACCCACCACATTGCATCTCACCTCCTGGCTTTACCTGTCTGACTGTGCTGTCCCATTTGCATGAGATAACCTTCTCTCTTCCTTTGTCCAGCCAATTTCTACTCAGCTTCTCCACCAATATATCACCTCTTTCAGGAAGCCTTCCCTGACTGTCCTCTACCACCATGTCCCTGGGTTCTCCTTGAGCATGGCCTGTTGGTCCATCCTGGGAGTATCTTGGGGTCCAGGATAGTCTGATAGTTTTGTCTTCAGATTCACCCCAGCCCAGGGCTGGCCATAGAGCAGCTGGTGTGCATGGAGTGAGTTAATGTCACTGGGATGAGGTCAGGGAGAGATGGGGCCCATCCAGTTCCCTCCTCATTGCTGTTTTGTCTCCTGGGTAAGAAAGCTGGACTCCTCTCTACCCCCAGCCCTGACCCTAACAGGGTCCTAGTGGATTGAGAGGGGCCTTACCCTGGGGTCAGGCCTCTCTCCTGCTCCTGACCTGACCCCAACAGGTGTCTCTAGGTCAGACCCTTCCTGGTGACGTAGGCCCTTCGCCCCTTCCCTGCAGATTTACCTGGGAATCTGGTAAATTCCGGATGCCTCGGCCTGCTGCTCTTCTCGCCTGGGCACTGGGTCTGGAAGCCCAGCCTTATATCCTGCACACCCTCTGTATTTGGATTGAGGTCTCCAAAGTAAATATTTGTGGCATCTGGTAAACCACAGACATGGTTTGGAGAAACAAGGATCCGGCTGACATGAGGGATGTGGGTGGGGCACTGGGGCATATGTCAGGGGAGATGGACCAGACAGAGTGTGGCCTGTTAAAGGGTTCCCTGCCTCCTGGGCAGCCACTTTGGTGAACAGGAGCAGTGATGAGAACAGATGCAGGGATGGGAACAGGGGCAGGGATGAGACCAGGGGCAGGGATGAGACCAGGGGCAGGGATGAGGTATTAAGCACCGGCAACACAGAAGTTTCCACCCCAGGCTTCACATCAGCCCTATCAATGGAGTCTCATTCCCACCAGGGTCAGCATGGCTATCCTGACTTTGCCACAAAGGCACCAGCTTCACCAGCCAATAAATGGCAGAGTCACATTCAAACCAGAACTCTGACTTCAAAAGCTATCTAGGGATGTCCTGGTGGAGACGGGACCCTGGGGGAGACTGAGTAAGGGCTCTGATTCCACTATTTCCATGCTGTGTGATGCAGAGCACATTCCCTAACCTCTCTGAGTCTCTGTTTCTCATCTGTGAAATGGGAATAATGGCAGCACATGGGTCATACGTCCTGGCACAGAGCAAGTGCTCAATAAATGTGAGTACTTTTTGCTTTTGTATTAATATTATTGCTTACAGTAGAATAAGCCTTTGCAGAGAGGTTACAATCATATTAACTGGGAGGATGGAGGGAAGAGCCTTGCCCATCCCTTATTCCTAAACACATTTTAGGACTAGGAATACATGTATCCATGAATTAATTCACCCACGAGAACAGGTATGAATCTCATTTTTGCCACTTTGTTGTATAACTGTGGGCAAGGTACTTCACCTCTCTGGGCCTCAGTGTCCTCATCTGTAAAATGGGGATAATGGTAGCCCAGGCTGCTGAGAGTGTGAACTGAGGTGCACACTCACCCAGCACTCAGCCCAGGTTGAGGTATTCTGCAGCAATGAGCACTGTCTTTGCCTTGCCTGTGGCTTCAGGAATTTCAGTGAATATTCGTGGACTGAATGAATGAGGCTTGGTCTTGAACCAAGGGGACAAATGAACTGCTCCGTAGGACCCCTCTCGCCCACCACCTGGGATTGGCTTGCTTGACCTTCACAGACACCTAGAGGTGGGTGTCAGCTGCCCTGAGTGTACCCAGGGAGTCTGAGGCCCTGAGAAGTGAGTGACTTGCTCCAGGTCCATGCCCAGGGCTTCCAGAGCTGGGACTTGAGTGTATTGTTTTGTGCAGACCACACGCTCTTCACCACTATGCCATCCGTCCCCGGTGAGTACAGGTTAGTGTCGGGAGGTAGGACTCAAACAGGGCCTGGGGAATCCTTGCTGCCCGGCTTCAGTCTAGAGGCCAGGGATGTGGTTCAGAGCTGGGAGCACTGGTACTGAATCCTGAGTCCTTGTGCAGGGGGACAAAAGGGGGGCTGTGAGGGCTCTGGGGATGCACAATACATGGCCAGGCCCTGGTGGGGCTGCACTCCCTGGAGATGTTGAGAAGAAGAAGGCAAGAGTGTTCACCCTCCTGCCATGTCTGAAATGGGCTCATGGCTCCAGACACCTAATGGTGAGAAGCTTCTGGAACCAGAGAGACTTCCTGGAGGGAGCCTGCCATCCCCCCGGGCACATCTCCAGAGGGTAGAGGCCTCCCCCGGGCTCTCCTGCTGGCCCTGCTGCAGCCCATGGACAATGCACCTCTGTGGGAGGCTTGAGCCCAGTGACAGGGCCTAGGCCTCAACCAGCTCCTGCTTCCTGCCTCTCGGTCCAAACACACTCGCTGGGGTCAGCAGGTGTGACGGTGCCTCTAAGTCCTGGCACATCTTGGAAGCCACAGTGCAGCGCGGCCCTGCCCTCAATGCCACTCAGCTTCCTCCCTCCCCTCCCCAGCCCCGACTGCTCTGGGCCTCTTTGTCCCAGCCTTTCCTCTTTCCCTCTCTCGGGCCTTTCTGCTGTACCCCTTCCCGGAATGCCTTGCCAGCCCCTGAGAACTCCATCTCGCCCTGTCTGGGCTGCAGGCAGGGGAGTCGTCCAGACGACTGGTTGAGGCCTAGATGGCTCATCAGCTGTGTGGCTGGGGGCAAAGGGCTCCTCTCTGGGGACCTCCACTTCCTCAGCTATAAAATGGGTCCGTTTTGAGGGTCACATAACAAAGTGTAAAATGCTTAGAACATCAGTGAAAGTGAGTGTTAGTCGCTCAGTCTTGTCCGACTTTGCGACCCCATGGCCTGTATCCCGCCAGGCTCTTCTGTCCATGGGATTCTCTAGGCAAGAATACCAGAGTGGGTAGCCATTCCCTTCTCCAGGGGATCTTCCTGACTCAGGGATCGAACCAGGTCTCCTGCATTGCAGGCAGATTCTTTGCTGTCTGAGCCACCGGGGAAAGGTGATGATTATTATAGAAATACTAACATCTCTGACCTTCAAGGCCCAGTTCAGAGGCAGTATCTGCTTCAAGCTGCCTGACTGCTGCCCATGGATGAGTGTCCTC